CTTAATTTGTTCCCAATAAAGAGGGGCTCCAGGGAGGAAAGACTCAGGGGTTCTCCATTTAGATTCCTAGAAGATCTGTTTGGGATCAGGAGTATTCCACAAGGAAACCAGGAGGCAGGCAGCTTGGGGTGACAATTGGGGTATGCGCTTGAAAATGAATCGGGAAGGTTGGCCAGTTCCAAGTAGAGATAGGTTTTTTTTTTTTTTTTTTTTTTTTTTTTTTGAGATAGATTTAAAAAAAAAAAAAAAAAAACCTGCTTCCGTGCTGCCTGGGCAGTGTGTGTTATGGGGGTGACAGGCAGGAAGAGACTGGGAATGTTTCTTGGAAGGGCCCAGATGGCCAGACTGGAGGCAGTAGGCAGGGATCCCAGCCCTGCAGGGGCCCACCAAATAGGGCTTAGCTTGGGCCACCCTACAGTCCAGGTCCCTCCCCACCCTCTTGATGTGTCTCATGGGCCCGTGACCTTCACCTGTCTGCAGGTGAAGTGAGTGTGCAGGTGGCCACGAAGGCCCTTCTAGCTTCTAAGTTCTGTGGGTCTTGGATGCTGAGGGTGTGCAGAAGCTCTGTCCTCATCTAGGGACACTTGACCAAAGGGAGGTACTAGTGGGGGTGAATGGCAGTACCAGCATGATGTCCGAGGAGTCGGGAACCCCCAGGCTGAGAAACACAATGGGCATTGAGTGGGTGTGTGGTTTGGACACTTGACCTGGGGAGACGGGCATGACAGAGCATCAGAGGGAGGATGTGGACACCAGGCTGGAGGTAGGTGTGTTGGCGTTTCTAGCTGCGGTCTGAGCCAGTCCACTTGGAGGATTAACCCCTGTCTGTAGGAGAAATTGAAGGGGCAGGAGCACAGAGAGGCCACCACCCCACACTATCCTAACTGGAGCACTCTGTGGGTTTGGGGGCTCCAGGAGGCTCTCCTCGCCCATGGGAATAAGGCGAGGTGCTCTACCAGGGAAGCAGCTCCACCTCCCGTCTCCAGGGGATGCTGCTGCACCCACTCAGCTTGGCGGGAGCACGTGGAGTCTTCTGCTCTTACTGCTGCCTCCTTCCATCACTACCCTCCACCCCCTGGCTTCCCTTGAGCCTACCCTCCTCACCTCAGCACCCCCCACAACCCACCCAGCTGGAAGGGTTTCTAGAAAGCCCCCTCCACTTCCTTTCCTAAGATCTTGGCCACCTGGGGCTTGCCCACACCACATCTGTGATGTTACTGGAAGGAGGGGCCTGGGAGGGGGGACCGGTCTTGTGTCTCAGTCCTGTACTGCACAGCTGGTTTCTTCACCAGCAGGAAGGGCATCAGAACGCCTGCCTCCTCAGGGCCAGTGAGCCTGGTGATGAGGAGATGCTGCATAACTGGGAAGGACTGTACAAACCAAAGTTTGCCTCCCCCATTTTTGCCTTTCCTACATCCGTGTGTGAGCAGATCAGGAACAGAAGGGACCCAGGAGCCTATAAAGGCAGCTGAGTTAGTAGCTTTGTCACCAGACTGCTCGCACCCAAAGCTGTATTCATTTTTCCGTGGCCTAACCTGAGCCACGTACTTAATTTCCTTTGCCTCAGTTTCCCCCATCTGCAAAGCCTCAGGTGTTCTGAGGATTAGGAACACTGTATGCAGGTGTTTGTGGCTTGGTTATCACCTCTCCCTTTACAGAGGCTTTTTGAAGGAGGTTAATGTCAGCATCCTTCACCCTATGCCCAGGCCACTGCCAATCCTGAGATGGGGCCTGGCAGACTGACCAGCGCAGGCACCCGGGAGGTAGGTGCCAGGGCCTTCTGGGAGGGACGAGATCTGGGCTTGTGCTGCTCAAACTCGAGTACAGGATCTTGTTAAAATTCAGATTCTAGTTGGGTTGGCCTGGGCTGGAGCCCGGGATTCTGCATCTCAGAAATTCCTAGGTAATGTCCATGGGCCACAAAGGATTCTCAAGGGTTCTCATGACTGCTTGTGGCTCCTGGACCCCACCCTCCACCCTGGTTCTCTTGGCAAAGCCCAGCAATGGAGGCCTGGAGGCCCTGCTGGGGCCCAGCCCTTCTCTCCGGTGTCTGTGTCCCTGGGACTGGGACAATGAGCCCTGTGAGGATCAGGAGCAGGTCCAGCATCCAGAGCCACAAGGCTGTGGGACATGGAGAACTATCTGGCAGGACCTGCCTGCGCTTTTCTTTTCCCCACTCTCCATCCCGGGTGGGGACCTCCCTCTCAGTGCCCATTTATCCCAACACTGGCCAGCACCTGCTACAGCTGCTGCACATCTAATGTAGGTCATCCCCTTCCTAATGAGGCTAGATACTTCTGGGGTGGGAAGGGGTCCTTTGGTTGGAGGTGTGCTTGTGGGCAAAGGGCAAGGAGCCAGGAAGTGCTAGGCTCTAGCCCTATACCTCCCTAAAGGTTACTCCATGGCACCCAAGGAGGCAGGGTCAGCTCCCTAGGGGGAAAAGGTACCCCTGCACCCTCACACCCTCCACCCCACCCATGGACCTGGGGGACTTTGTTTTCATCATATTTCTCCAGAGATACTGAAGTCAGCAATGTCCCATCACCTTGGAGGACGATGCCCATGGGTCTGCCTTGTGGCAAATTGCTTGACTCACTGTGTACAGGTGATAGCACCCAAGGCTGGGGATGGGGTATCAGAACCTGCTTCAGGCCACTGTCTCCACTGATTGGTGCTCTCTGGTCAACTTCTGGGCTCACCACTGGGGTAATGCTGAGGTCCGGGATGGGTGGGTGAGGTGGAAAAAGAGAGCGAGAGCTGGCTTGAAGCAGAGGAAAGAAGGCTCAGGTGGAAACAGAACCTGGGCTTGGGTGGGAGGGATTCTCTGCCACCTGTCTCCTTGCAAGAAGCTGGAAAGAGTAGGAACAGAAGCCTGGACTGGGTCTCCAGCACCCCTCTGGGTGTGAGTATAGAAAACATTCTAGGGTAGAGGTTGCCCAGCAGGGTTTTCGTTAGACCTTACTTCTAGGTTGGAGGTATCCCGGTGCATCTGTCTGCTGGGGGCTTTTGCTGGCTGAGTGTTGGCATCTGAGGAGGAGTGCTGGAGGGCTGCCAGCAAGGCATGCATGTGTGTGTGTGTGTGTGTGTGTGTGTGTGTGTGTGTGCATGTGCCTAACTGCACAGCTCCCTGTGGGTGTGTGTTTGCACCATGTGCTGTTTTGGGAGCTCCAAGCACGTGTCTGGGAGCCTATGTGCACCCTGCTCTGTGCACACATAAGTGTCTCCCCATAAGGGCTATTGCTGGGTGGCAGTCACCAGGGAGTGGATGAGCAGCCAGATTCAGAAGCACATGACCTGTCTCCAAGCTGACATGTGACCCTGGGTGAATTGGTCGTCATCTCCATGCCTTGGATGCCCACTAACCTGCCTAATGTCATGTGGGTGCTGTGAGCTCTGGATGTGAGGGTTCTCGCTGGAGTGAGAGATTGTCTGAGGGTCAGGGCCTGCAGGACACGGAGAGGGTGGTGCTGCTGGCCATGGTAGAGGTCCATGAGGGCTGTGTGTGTGAGTGTGCCTGGGCAGGGACATCCTGTTGATGGGCCATCTGCTCAGAAATGGAGGAGACCCATGGGTGAGGTTGGTGGGACCAGGAGGGCGATATTACCTAGAATTGCTGTGAGCTGCTGTCCCCTCCCAGCGGAGGAACTGGGGCTTCCTCACACTTTTCTTGGGCTCAAATCCAAGCTGGGCACATTTGCCTGAGTTATTTCTAAGGTAATGTGTACTAAATATAGTAAATGTTAACTTTCTTCCCTTAATTAAATGGATCCACACAGAGATTCGCCCATGAAATATTACTGTCACCACTTGTAGAGATAAGATAACTGAGGCTCAGGGAGTTTACATGGTTAACAGTCTCACAGCTAGGGAGCGCTGGGACCGGCCATGAACCAGAAGCCCTGCCTGCCTGGGCTGGAGAGAGAGCAGATGGAGAAGACACCTGAGCTGCTCCAAGCATCTCCTTCACGCCTCAGCCCGGGGCCTGGGGAGGAAGCAGTGTGGGGAACTGGACTGCTCCCCACACCCTGTGTCAGGGCCTAGTTGTGACTCGTCTGCCAGCCCCTGGAGACCTACATGACTGGACACCCCTCCCCCGCCCCCTCCCCCATGGAGGTGGGGGGAGAGAAAGCCAAAGACCACCCCCTCCCCACCCAGGCTGCCCTTGCCCGGAACACTGCTCAAGGTCCTGTGGGGGGTGCTGTGTTTTAAGTGGGTTTTGTCACTCAAGGCAGCTAGATTCAAGAGTGGGGGCTGGGAAGCCACTGAGAGACACCAGGAGCTGCAGCGGACCCGAAATGCCTGAGGGAAACCCGCTTCAGCTTCACTGGATGCAGAGATTTCAGAGCTGAATGAGTTAGCTTCCCAACAGTCCCCTCCACCTCCTCAGCTGCCTGCTTAACTCTGCCCCTGGCTCCTTGCAAGAGGAGGTGGCAGGGGGAGATGGGAGGTTGCACCCCAGCAATCAGGGTCATGGAGGGATGAACAGGTGACCAGAGGAGCCAGCAGGGAGCAGTGGGCTGATGGGCTGCTGCCCTTTGGGAGTGGGAGGGCTGAGCTGCCGGCAGTCTTCTCTTTCCCTCCTGTCCCTTCCCCACCTGTCCCCGCCTGTGGCCTGCTGCAGGGGCAGCCACCGCAGTCTCCTTTCCCATCCCTCAGATGGGGCTGGGAGAGTGGAGGCTCTGTCCCCTGTCTGAGGGAACTTTGCCATACCAGGAAGCAAATGGGGGCCAGAAGAGGGCCCTTGTCCCTCTCATTAGTCACACAGTTGGGGCAGCACAGGTCCTGAGACCCTAGACAGGATGACTACCTCCCTTTTGTCATCTGCAAGAGAAACCTGCTTTCTTGCCTCTGCGGACCTGCTCCCAGCCCTCCTTCTGCTCCGAAATCTCATCCTCTGCTTCCTGTCCCTATCTCCTGCAGGAACAGCTGCTGCGGCATGAACTCCCTGAGCTGATGAGTCTTATTATAGACCAGCGGGTGGAAGACAGAGCACCGCACCTCACCTCTCTGGCGAAGGTGGAGGGGAAGCAGGAGGCCATCAGGTGGCAAGAGCTGGGCCTGGACCTCACACCCGACACAGAAGCACACTCTGCCTCCTCGGGGGCCATGGTAAGAGCAGCGCTGGGACTGGCAACAGCGTCACTGTGGCCTCGCTCCGCTTGCCTAGTTGATATGTCTCTCCACGTCTCCACCTGTGACGTGGGGAGGCCATATCACTCCCGAAACATTTTAGAGATCAACAACACACCAGAGAGGCACCAAGAGAGGTGGGGTGTATATGTGGGGGGTGGCAATGGAGAGGCCACTTTCAGAGTCCCGAGGGGAGAGCTCAGCACCCTGCCCTCCTTGCCACTGGGTCACCCAAGGAAGGGGAAGGTTTCCTGGCTTCTCTGCCCCTCATTCTCCTTCCCCCACCCAGGGAATCATAGCTAAGAAGAACAGGGGAGGGGATGACAAGCAGTGTAAAGAGACACCAGGTCCTCTCCCTAACCCCTGGGCTGGACCAGGGCCTGGAGTGCCTGCTCAGCCCTCTCTCTCTCTCTCTCTCTCTCTTTCTCTCTCTCTCTCTCAGGACTGACAGGTAGCACACACCGAGGGGCTCGTCTATCCCCAGAGGTGCAGGGCCGTAAGAGCTGCGGCATTCACCATGCTGGCCCGGGGCAGTGGCCCCGAGCAGAGGACCAGGCTTGCCCTGCAGTGGAGGCAGATCTCCTGTGAGTATGTAGGGCAGGGGCAGGTGGCAGGGGCTAGCTTGGTGCACAGGGATGCATGCCAGGCTATAGGAAGCTCTGATCTTCCTGGGATGCCCAAGGCCTGGGAAGCCAGTTTTGCCCATGGTACTGGCATCTGTGGCAGCCAAAGAAAGAGTTACCACTGACAGCTTTTGTGGTTAAATTGGGAGCTGGAGGCTGTGACAGGTGGTTCTGTGTCTTCAGGTGGGTCTGCTCTTGTGCCCAGGAAGTCCACCCCCATGCCACTCCCAGCGGTCTGGCTTGTGAGAGCCCTGCTGCCCTGATGGCAAGTCTCCCTCTTGTCTTCCACTGGCTGGGTGAATCTGGAGACTTCTGTCTCAGTCTTCCTGACTCTGAAATGGAGGGAACTAGAGAGCTCTTGGATTGTGGTGTTGGAAGGACCCTAGGGGTTAGATCCCAGCCCTCCTTCTGCATATGGGGAAATTGAAACCTCCATTTCCCATGAGAAAGCCTTGTAAGTTGTAAGGCTGAAAGAAGCCCTGAGAATTTTCTTCATATGAGGGAAAGGGCCCAGGTCAGTGAGGACTGGTTTGCCCAAGGCTCCATGGTAAGAGGTAAGAAATGGTCCTGAGGGACATTATTCTACCTGACTTCTCCCCTCATATGCTTGGCCCCATGACATAAGCAGCCTGAATTATTCACCACGCGAGAGTGGCTGATCCCCAAGCCACTCAGATCTCATTTCAACCTCATTCTAGAATCACTCAACACCTCGCAATACAGGATTATGTTTTCGTGTCAGCAGAGCTTTTATGTCACCCTGAATTTCTCAGGGGTCAGGGGGATAGTGGCTTCTAGTTATGTTGATCCTTGTGTGAGGGAAGCTGGATAGAATGAATTTTTGTCTGGAGAATGTGAAGTCTGAGGTATGTTTATTTTCAGATGGCATGGTTGGGTGTAGAGTGGGGCAGGCTGACCTGGTAGCAGAAGGGTTTGGAGGGGTAAGAGCCATGGCCATGACTGTGCTTGTTCCTCTTGAGTTGAGGAGGCTCAGGTGTCAGCCTTGCAGACTGCCCTTAGCTGTCACTGACTCTGCAAGTGGGAGGAGGCAGTCCCATACTGTCCCTTCAAGTTCTGTTCTTAGGGACACCAGACAACCAGACATTACCAGACAAAGACTCAAGACCATCTTATTCAGGCACTCAAGCTGGGGTGGCTGCTGCCTCTCTGAGTGGGGTCACCTGGCCCATGAACTGGGTCCGAACTTCTCCATCACTTCCCTGGCTAGAGGCTTTCCTCTGGGTCTCTCTTTCCAAAAGAAAATGGCCACACTGCTGCTTCCTTCTCCTCTGCACCCCTGCCCCCAACTTGGAGCTATACTAGGCTGAGACATGCCGCATGCAGAAGAGAGAGAGAGCACAGAAGGGCACTCCCACCCTTGCCCCTACAACCTCCCATGTGCTGACAGCTCTGCACCGATCCCACATCCAAGAGGGAGCCAGTAATTTGCCAGACGGGGTGCTGACTTGGTGAAGCTGAACTATTTTGAGCGCATCCCTTTTTTCTTTCACAGTGAGCAAACTTCCATGGTACTCAGGAAGACACCTGAGAGGAGTTCTGCAGTACTCTGAGAAAGGGCTGCTGGGCACTGAAATGAGCTGCCCTGTTATAATTATTCTCTGAGGGTCCCCAGCCCTTCCCAGGCCAGACTTTGAGGTTGCTCGCTCAGAGGGGTTCTGGGAAAAACATGGGACTACAAAAGGAATCCTATTAATGGGTCCAGCCTGCAGAAATGCTATCCTGCAGCCCTTAGAAACAGGAGCCAAACTTAAGTGCATGGCTGGTTTTAGGATGGAATAAATATGAACCTTCTCCTGGAACCTATGATCTGCAGTGGCTTGTGCCCAAGTGTGCTTCAGCATGGAAGTGGATTTGTGCATCATATCCTCATATTTCCTCAGTGGTCTTTGGAGCGGGACCCTAGAGGGGCCCAGGCTCCTGATCTCCATGCTAAGTTACCACCTGCACCCCCCTCCCCCTTGGATGTGGGATTTGTGCAGATCTGACTGCACATGGGAGGTGGGACAGGGCGGGGGCAAGAGTGCCCCTTGGTGTTTTCTCTCTTCCACATGTGGTGTGTCTTAGCCTAGGGCAGCTCCAAGTTGGAGGTGGAGGTGCAGAGGGGAGGGGAGCAGCAATATAGTCATTTTCTTTTGGAAAGAGAACCTTTCTCTGTGACTCTGGGAGAGGAACAAGGGAGCAAGTTTCTTTGACACCCTTACATCCTTTGTTTTGTCAACATCTATGGTACCAGTGGGGCCCAAGCTTCCAAAGAGATCAACCATGGGAGGCCCCATGAGTCGGGGCATCTTTGTGGAACAGTATGTTCGTCCTCTGGACTCCAGCCTGCCATTCTGCAGGATTGTACTCCACTAAAGTGATTTCTTTGCCAGAAAGCTTTGCTGTGAGGCAAGAAGCCCTGCTGACACCGTGTGATGTCCAATAATATAGATGTGCTTTGGGTTTGTTAATTATCTTTTTATGTGGTCGGTAAAGGTTTCTGCTATCGACTGTGGCTTGGGCTAAAGCAGATAAAGTCAAGAAGCCATTATGATACAAATTAGAAAGGAGGGAATGGAATGGAAGCAGGAGGTGGTACACCCCCCCCCCCCGCCCCGCCTGTTGCTTTCTTCCCACCCATCTGTCCCCCTCCCTTCCAGGGATTGCCTGCTGGATCACCCTGTATGCTGTGGAGGCCCTCCCTGCCTGCCCATTCTCCTGTAAGTGTGACAGCCGCAGCCTGGAGGTGGATTGCAGTGGCCTAGGCCTCACCATGGTGCCCCCAGACTTGCCTGCTGCCACCCGAACCCTCTTACTTTTGAACAATAAGCTGAGTGCCCTGCCAAGCTGGGCCTTTGCCAATCTGTCCAGCCTCCAGCGGCTGGACCTATCTAACAACTTCCTGGACCAGCTGCCCCGGTCCATTTTCGGGGACCTGACGAATCTTACGGAGCTGCAGCTGCGCAATAACAGCATCAGGACCCTGGACAGGGACCTGCTGCAGCACTCGCCCCAGCTCCGCCACCTGGACCTGTCCATCAACGGTCTGGCCCAGCTGCCCCCTGGCCTTTTCGATGGACTCCCAGCTCTGCGCTCTCTGTCACTTCGCTCCAACCGTCTGCAGAACCTGGACCGGCTGACGTTTGAACCCCTAGCAAGCCTGCAGCTGCTGCAGGTTGGGGACAACCCATGGGAGTGTGACTGTAACCTGCGTGACTTCAAGCACTGGATGGAATGGTTCTCCTACCGAGGTGAGCACAGCTAGTCCTACCTGGGTGTGAGGAATGGGAGAATCACCCCTGGCCCAACACGTTTCCTGGAGGCTGGGCGCTGACTCAGGGCCAAGGTCCAGGTGAAGAGGGTGGCCCTGCCTCTCCACCAGCTCTGGGCTAGAGGGGTCTCAGCCTGGGCTCCAAACCACCAGCAGGGGAGAGAGGCTGGTGCCACTTTCAGTCCTCCTCCACGGCTCCAAGCTCCTCTCTGTGTGCTCTTCCCAGCCCCCAGCCTCTCTTCTTCTTTTTCTGTCAGACTGACTCACTGTAACTTGATCTCACTTCTGTAGGTATCATGGGGCAACTTTAACTTTTTCTTTGCATCCCACTAGGTAAGCCTCTGGGCTTCCCTGGCATGGTAGGAGGAAGAAAAACCTCCCTTGCTTTTCAGAATAATACAACAATTTCTTAAATATCCACAATTTTAGGAGGGTGGAATATAATTTAAATCCACAGATAAAAACCAAATTTTCATTTTGATGATGATCTCAACTCTCATTCTCAATAAATTTTATATTCAAAGCTTTTAATAATAAGCCAAATGGCTTTAATTTTACTCTTTCCCTTCCCAGATTTGTCAATCTGGGAATGTTCTAGAATAATCCATAAAATGATTAAATGGAATGAAAAGGAGGGCAAGAAAGTGAGGGTAGTGATTAAAAGTACCAGAATGGGTTTGAGTTGTAGCTCTTTCACTTACCAGCTGTGTGATCCTGAGAAACCTCTCTGTGGCAGTGTCCTTATTTGCAAAATGGGCAAATAACAGCTATCTGCTAGAGTCATTGTAAAGATTAAATAGTAATGCATGTGGGCACTTCGGGGGCTCTGTCAGTTAAGGGTCTGCCTTTGGCTCAGGTCATGATCCCAGGGTCCTGAGATAGAGAGCCTGCATCATCACATTGAGCTTCCTGTTCAGTGAGGAGCCTGCTTTTCTCTCTGCCCCCTCCCCCCACTTGTGCTCTCTCTCTCTCTCTCTCAAATAAATAAAATAAAATAAATAGTAATGCATATAAAGTCCTGAAAAGTACTTAGCATAAAGCAAGTCCTCCATAAAATGTACTCGTTTATTTGTCCATTTGCTAGTGGTAGTCATAATATTAAATAGACTTAAGAAGACATAATTTGGTGCCCAGCACAAAGGAGATGCTCCATGAGCATTTGCTGAATGAATGAACCAATGTGAAAAGAATGCCAATCCTCTTCAGCTTACTCCTTTCGTTTCATATCCAGTCACAATCTCAATTATTGGCATGATATTCTCATGTATAAAGTGTCATAGATGTTTATCATTATGATAATTTCTCCCATTTTTGTGAGTTGGGAAATAATGAGTAATACTTATATAGTTTCTAGATTATAAATATATTTTCATGTACATTATCAATTTTAATCCTTATGAAACAGGTAATTGAGGTAGCCATTCTTATTTTATGGTCAAGAAAACCAAGACTTACATGCAATTAAGTAAGTTAAATAATTCACACAAGATGACATGGCTAGGATTCAACCTTAGGTCTTTGAGCAGGAAGATGAGCTTGCCCCTATCTCAACACCCCGCCCCTACCTGTACAAAGGTGGCCCTTGGAAACACTGTGGTGGATGTAAGATTTGCCTTTGGGACACCCAGGCAGTCAGTGGCACAAGGGAGCTAGAGGCCAAGTGTCTTCAGCCCCATGTGTTATCCCTAGGCAACATCCTTGTCCTTTAATATAGTTATCAGGAACTAAGTTCTCAGCACAAAAGGGCATAGATTGGGGATGCATATTTTTGGAACTTTTTTTTTTTAGGGATTTTATGTATTTATTCGTGAGAAACAGAGAGAGAGGCAGAGACACAGGCAGAGGGAGAAGCAGGCCCCCCGCGGGGAGCCTGATGTGGGACTCGATCCCAGGACCTTGGGACCACAACCCAAGCCGAAGGCAGATGCTCACTGAGCCACCCAGGTGCCCCTGGAACTTTTCAATAGTACAGTTGTTTTCAACCTTGCACTTCTTAAAAAAAAAATCCTGGGATGTTTTCATCAACATCTCAGGAAAAGAATATCTGTTGTATGAGAAGACTTGCAACAGCTGCTCTGGGAGAAGGAAAAGGCAATGAAGGAATGGCAGGAGCCTGTTCAGCAGGAGCCATTTGGGAAGGGATCTCTTGCCTGTATCTAGATTTCACTGGAAGCTGATAGAGGGACAAAATCTGACTTTGACTTCCTACAGAATTTTCCATAGCAACCTTCTCTCTGGCCCTACCTGTGTTCTACATCTGCATCCTCTCATGACTTCACTATAGTTTGGCTTCACCGTGGTCCAGCCTCACCATTGTCATGATGAGCCTGTGCACCTACTGCTGCCCATATCCCCTCATTAGCATAGGCACCCTCTCCTTTGCCCTCATGGGACTCAGGGTACCCTCCCAGGGTGCCACTGTACTCAGAGATGCTGTGGTCAGGGGTGCTGATGGGCTATTGGATTGCTCTTGGGGAGGAAAGGGAAAACATTCTCACCCGACCTTTTTACTCCCCACTCTTGGGCAACTAAAAGGTTCCATATGGAAGAGTGGTGGCTGTGGCAGTGGCTTTTGACTTGTCCTTTTTTTTGAGAGGGAGGAAGTCTGTAAGGATAAGATACAGTGGAGAACAGTGTTCTGGACTTACACGTGGCCGTGAGCAGGGGTAGAGCAGGAGCAGAACCACAGCCTGAGCGGGGCTCCTGGCTCTCTGTGCATGGCCAAGTCTCCCTTGGGTACCTCCTCAGGTTAGCACTGCTGTACTCTTGTGGGTCAGTTTGACTCTGGGGAGAGCAGACTTGACAGAGATGGTTGTGTTTTTCTCTGAAATGGAAATAATGGCAATATCCATCTTCTATGGCTTCTGTGCAGATTAATGACATGATATATGTACCTCACCTATCATGGTCCTTGGCTTAATAGATGCTAGTTGTTTTTCTCCCTTCCTGTCCTATTGATGGGATTCCAGGACTGATTTCATTCCCCATAGAAACTAGACCTTCGGGGACTCTGTTTTGGGGACTTGGGGATGGGGAGAGGGAGTCCAGGTCAGCCTGGTCAGCTCCTCCTTTTTTTCTCCCCTGGATGCAGGGGGGCGCCTGGACCAGCTTGCCTGTACCCTACCCAAGGAGCTGAGGGGGAAGGACATGCGTGTGGTCCCCATGGAGATGTTCAACTACTGCTCCCAGTTGGAGGACGAGAATAGCTCAGCTGGGCTGGATATTCCTGGGCCACCCTGCACCAAAGCCAGCCCTGAACCCGCTAAGCCCAAGCCAGGGGCTGAGCCCGAGCCCGAGCCCAGCACAGCCTGCCCCCAGAAGCAGAGGTATCGGCCGGTGAGCGTGCGGCGGGCCATTGGCACAGTGATCATCGCGGGGGTTGTGTGCGGCATTGTCTGCATCATGATGGTGGTGGCTGCTGCCTACGGCTGCATCTATGCCTCCCTCATGGCCAAGTACCACCGGGAGCTCAAGAAGCGGCAGCCCCTAATGGGGGACCCGGAGGGTGAGCATGAAGACCAGAAGCAGATCTCTTCTGTGGCATGAGAGCCCAGCCCCACATGGCCTAGGTAGGACGGGCAGGGAGAACTCACTGGGGATCGCTTCAGTAAGGGCTGGCCCTTCCCTCCACCACAGTCCCCTCTTCCACCTTCCTCCCCAGCCCTCCAGCAAACAAGCCACAGTGCAGCCATCGCCAAGAACTTCCAAGTCTCTGTGGGAGATGCCCTTGTGCTAAAGTCTCCTGCTCATGCCTCTCTCTGGGCCACCAAGTCTCTGGAACACCTGAGGGATCTCCCTAAGCTTCTGGCCATAGGGAAGAAAGGATATGTATGCAAGTAGAGGCTTCTGGATTCAGTGTTCCCCTGTTGTCCTTCCTGCCCTAGGTGTAGTCACAGCTGGGTAACTCTCCCTACCTCCTGCTCATAGCGCCTCATCGGTACATAGGTGTGGGGAGGAAGAAATCTGGGGGCCAGGGCTCAATTTCCGTGACCTTCTTCTAAGCCAGGAAGATGCTCTCAGCTGCCCTTCAGTGTCAGATTCGGGTCCAGCCTTCAACTGCTAGTACTAACGTACAGTCACACCAACCCTGGCATCTGGATCCAGCACTTAGGAACACAATTATAATACACTCCTTCTGTAGGAGCCAGCCAGGCCCTCTACCTGCCACAGGCCACACCAACCACACTGCGCCTGGCTTCACTCATTCACTCTCACACAGACTCAGCATCACCAGCGCAATTACATCGATTGGAAATCTCTATCTGTCTGTCTGTCTCTCTCTCTCACACACACAATCACATGGAGACAGAGGTCATGAGAACTTGGGGAGTGGAGACGTGTTTCCCCCTTGGGTCTCTGACCCTCAGGCCACAGAACCTTTTGCTTGCTTACTACAATCTTCTCAAGTCAACAGGGGGGTGAAGCCCACACCGACAACACAAGGATTCCTTTGTGATCCTCTGAAGTGGGCCAAAGTGGTGCTGCTGGATGAGACTGCCTGTCACCATGGTAACCCTCTCACACCTCTCCTGCTGGGTTTTCCAGGGACACCAGCCCAGAGGCCTTGAAGCAGCATGTGTGGATGGCAGCCTCCAGAGAGCCCAGGCACATACCACTGGGCGTTTCTTCAGCACTAAGGACATCACCACTGCCAGGCCCCATGGGGACACCCACCAATTCCACTCCTATAGCCTGCAGCCCAAGAACCATTGCTCTGTACCCTTCCCCCTCCCATCTCCCCATCTTCAGCAGCTCTAGGCCTGGGACACCGGGGTGGGTCCTGGATCATGATGGTGGGATCTCAAGGAAGCTTACTGCCTGCCAGAAGACCGCAAGCAGACTCCAGGAGCAGGGCGAGGGCTGCATGTTCTGCCCAGAGGCTTCAGGGGGTGGGGTTTTGTGCACTTAGGGGGCTTCCTGGAGTTTTTAATTGCACCTGGACTGCGCTCCAAACCAGAGTATGGGCCAGGGTCCTGTTTGTTACCAGCCTACACCATAGGGGCAGCAGGTGAGAAGTTGGCTATGTGGGGATTTGGGGGTCACTAGTCCCCTTTTATAGGTCGGCCCCCTACAGAGGGAGTTCTGGGTTTCCATCTGTTGGATACCAGTTTTCCCATGGCTTATCAAGAGTCAGGAGGCATCAGGCTGGTTTCTGGTCTTGCTGGTGGCCCAGGAAGAGGCCTCCAGAACATGAAGGCCAAGGGTCTGAGGAAGGACAGGGCAGGACAGGGTGGCCCACCTTGCCGTGCACCCCCCAATTCTTCCACCTCATGGAGGATCATGGTAGGTGAAGGGGGCAGGCTTGGGGGGTCAGGTACTGCCTCTGAAAAAGGCCAGCCGAGGCCTCAGTGCAGCTGCTGAATATGCCTCCCCGAGTCTGGGGGCATAGTCTTCCTTCTTTTGGCTTTCCAGTTGATACCTGATCTAGGAATTTTCTAAAGGAAAAGGAGGGGAGGGGTGGGTGTGGTCAATGGTGGTATCTTCAGCCTGAGACAGAAGATTTTTAAAGGCAAAATTATATTTCTGGTTTGTTGTTTCAGAAGAACAATAAAGACTGTATTTTCCTATGTACCTTCTGGTTTCCTTGGGTGGGGAGGGCCTGTGGGTGCCGGCACAGTGGCTTCCTGCCCTCTTCCCTCCCTAGGCAGCTGCATGAAGTGCTACAGGATGTCACTGCAATGTCCAGAGCCCCCCAGACAGATAGAAAACTCTTGCCTGAGGCCTCGCCTTGGGGCGGTCCCAGGAGAGATGTGGAGGGCTGGATTAGAACGGGGTCTATAGCTGAGTGCAGCAATTTACCCATTGCCTGGGCTGGCCCCACAGTATGAATTCTTGACCTCAGGCTGGTTTCACTGTGCAGTACCCAGATATGAAGGCGAACTGGAAACCTGTTCCTGCCCTATGCCTTCTGTTTGCTCATCTGCCCTGGCAGTCAAGGACAGATGAGCCAATGTGGTAGGAAGGCATGCATTTGCCCAAAGGACCCCGTTGTGTAGGAGGAGGTGGGGGGAGGGCTCCCTAGGAGCTGCTGATTACATTTTATCAGCCTTGGTGAAATTCAGGGTGTTGTTGACATGAAGGAAGAACCCTATGTAACTTATTATCTTCTTGCACCTTCAGGCCTGACGTTAGAGCTAGGATGAGATCACTGTCCATTTTCAAGTATGATCCATCCAGGGCTCTGCAGGTGGGGAATCAGAATTATGACCTCAAGGGCCAGAACTGGGGAGACCAGGAGAGGCCTCTGGGGTTGCTGGTCTACCCCAAGCTGGAATGACTCACCTTTGGGGCTAGGCTAGCCTCTGGCTGACTGAACCTGGGCTATATGGTTCATTAGTCTTCAGAGACCAAGACAGAATTTTCTCCTTCCTAGCAGCTCTTCTTCAGATGATAGCCCAGTGAGCCAGGAGCAAGCCCTATGGAGAAGTGAGCCACCAAGGTCCCTTTCCTGGAGTTCAGCTGGTCTCCCAGCAGAACTGAGCTGCTTGCCTTTCAGAGGTCGGGTGCTGTTCTCCCAAAGTCCTAACAGGCATAGTGGACCTGAGAGACAGTCTTCCCCAAGGTCTGCTGCAGAAGCAGAGGCCAAGGTCCCTCCCAGCACGGTTCAGGCCTGGGTAATGCGTAGGTACGTTACACATGTCACTGTTCTGAGTGTGTGCACACAGGTCTGATGGCTAGGCCCATTTGTCTGCAGGCAGAGCCCCAAGGGGAGGATCCCTTGCACAACTCCAGACAGCAGGCTCACCGCTAAAGGCCTCTGGACAGGGGCACATGTGTATCGCAGGATACATGTTAGAGAAATACGCTAGCAGATTATGGTGCCACCATCATTGTGCTGGGCGATATTCCCCAACTAGGTCTGGAGGTCATGGGGAATTGAAAACGGATCCTCATCAAAAAGTTAGATTCCTAGAAATTCTGCATAAACTGTTGATAAATCATCTGCTTAGAGATTAAAACGATCCCTTCTCATTCATGTGCACTTCTGTAGGAACTGTGGCATGATACACACATCTGGCACTGGCCCCTGTAGCTGGTCCGAGTGCCTTTGCTCAGTGCAAAACCTCACACATGCAGCTTGCCCACTGCCACCATGCTCACCCAGTCCTGGAGCTCCTATGCACACAGTGCCACCGGTTTCCAAGCGATGAAACCATCAGGACAGCAAACAAGCTGCCTCCCCTGCTTTGAGCTATAGGCCCCCTCTGGCCCCATTATCCAGGGAGAGGAAATTACAAAGGAGACTCCCTCCAAAAGTTGAAGTATAAGGTCTGTAGTGCTTCACTCTTTTCCTAACATATCCACACAGCCTGGAAATTCAGAGCCGTTATCTGCAGCGAGTTAAACCAGAGACACCAGGACATGGTTTCTATGGCAACACCTGGAGGCTCTAATTCAGCTCTGAGTTAAAAATGATATCAAATAATTGGAGAGTGCTGGAGAGAGCAGCCTGACCCTGTGTCCCTCTGGTTCCTAGACTCAGGTGTGCAGGGGCTAAGAAGGTCCACGCCACGGAGGGAGCAGGACAGGCTCAGACTCATCGGGGACCACTGAATAGGCTTCAGGAAAACAAGTTTAGGTCCAGTTTTGGGTCTGGAGTTAGCACACTGTGGCCTAAGTGTAACAAGGCATCTGAGATGGCACGAGTCCCTTCCGGATGTTGGAGCAGTACATCCTGAAGGCCACCCACCTGTGCAGCAAGTGTTTCCTCAGGTGGGAAGTCAGGGATGGATGATCTCTGCCAGACCCCAGCCTGCTCCTCCTACCTCCTTTACCCTGAGCCCAGCCTGGGGGGGACAAGGCTCACCCACACGTACCTGCCACCCCCCTCCAGCTGCGGAGTCCTTCCACATGACTCGGGGCCGCTGGGGAAATAGGACAGGACCTGCAACGGCTGATGCTTGAGCAACCACTGAATTGCACAGCTTTGCAGAACACTGCTGGGTCTGAGACACGGACACTGAAGCCAAGGCAAGGAAGGCTTCAGTACATAGGCCTGATGGTGTTCAGGTGAGGAGGCGCAGGTGCAAAGGGCTCTTTTAGGTACCAAGAAACCACCAATTCGGGGCAGCCTGGGAGGTCACTGGGTGCTCTCATCACATTTGAGGCAAATGGCAACATGGGGTAGAAGGTTGGGTCTTGAAGAGAGGCAGCCTGAGTTCAAATTCTAGCTTCGTTAATTATTAGCTATGTGACGATAGGCAAAGAATTTTTGTGGTTCAGTTTCCTTATCTGTAAAATGGAGCCAAAAGTATCAGCTTCACTGGATCACCCTGAGCGCTGAATGAGATGTGCACGGGAAGCAGCTCCTGAGTTGCCCAGCACATACTGAACCTGTGCCCCAGGCGGGGACTTGAGGATCTCAGTCATGGGGCTGGCTTTCTGCACAGTGGCAGACTAGACCCAAGGCACACAGAGGGGTGGCGAGGAGGTCTGTGTTGTGGTGTTCTGGGTGACCTGGAGCAGATCTCCTAACCTGCCTGAGCTTCATTTTACTTTATCAATCCTTTTAGATCTCAGGTTTTATGGTTTTCTAAATCAAATAGCTCAGGAGGACTCCTTCCTCCCTTGGTCCCACAGTGCCCCTTGGAAAACGTACAGCCTGAGGACTGTGGCCCTTGCCAACCGCAGGCAGGTTCCTCCTGCTATTACTGGGCTTTATCCTTGATGACATTGACTCACAACTCCCCAACCACAGTGGCACAAAGTGCAGCTCCTACCTGCAGCAATGGCTGTCTTCTTGTCCACTGTTACGGCCACAGCTGTGCTTGCTGTTACTACCATTGGCTGGCTTGGACCTTCTGGAGAAACAAAAATTGTCAAGTGACTATCTCAGTGACTGGGGAAAAGCCAGTGGTTGGGTGGTGGGTGCGTAGGCTGAGAATGCAACAGAAGTCCCAGGTGAGGGCATTCCTTGAATAAGTGAGGCAGGGAGTATTTGGAGAAGCCATTGCTGTGGTGGCTGTGTCACCATCAACTACTAGTCTTTGCAGAGTGCCTCCTGAGTGTCAGGGACTGCCACCTTTCCATGCAGATCTGGACCTGCCAGCTAAGTGTGTCATGGCCCCTGGCTGCCTGGACAATGCAGTGTTGTCCACATCATTAGGACATTGTGAGTGCTCTGTCTCAGGGCAGCAACTGTCTGCTGGTGGTTGCCTCACTTGAGCTCAGGGACCCTGCTGTGACCCATTCTCTCAGCACATGTTCCACCCAGAAGACTTGCATTGCATCAAATGACTCTTTCCAGCAGGACAGGCTCTATTCCAGGACTCGTGGTGGCTGATCCTGGGTTGTCCTTCATCAGTCACTTGAGTCAGGGTGACATTGACAGCCCCTCTGGAGGCCAGATGCCAGGGCTGCACCAGGCACAGGCGGCGGGCAGGTGCCTGATGCATCTGAGGCTCTCCATAAATCCTGGTCATTGGTGGCCGGCTTGCCACCACCACCCCATCATCAAGCCATGGATTTCACTTGCTTTACAGGCGGTTACTGCACTTCTGGGACACTCTGCCAGGCTCTTAAAGGGCAAGGAGCTTGCTGTGAGCTGCTTTCCTCACCTCTTTTAGGAGAGTCAGGCCCCCATAGGTGCAGAATTTAGGTGGCAGTGTCAGCTTCACATGAAAACAGAGCCTTCTGGCTCTGCAGTGGTGTGGGTTAGTGTATGACCTTGGGCTTTTTAATCTTCATCAGTTCAGAGTCATGGCTTAGTTTTTCAAAGCATTCCAGTCTACAGGCCAAGTTCCACTACAATTCCCAAGAAAGGGGCAAAATTTTATCAAGTGCTGTCTTGTGAGAATGTCTTTATATCAAATGTTGCTTGAGACAAATAGATCATGAGATGCTTATGTGGGGTTCATCTACTGCAGTGGAACTTGAATCGTGTTTTCTCCTATCCATTTCACTAAGATCATCCATCACACCTTGCTAGAATCAAATATCTCACAGAAATCCAAAGTTACTCTGATTCTAGAGGCTTAACGATATATAGCATTGTCGATTCTAGGTCTTTGCCATGATAAAATCACAATAAACACAGGAGTCAGCTTCCTCACCTTGCTTCCAGAAATGTCTAGAAGCAGGAGGGACAGGCCTGAGGCCCCCAGGCCTTGGTGAGACTCAGCTGTGTGCGGGCGGATTTCCCAGGCACTGGTTGCAGGAGACAGTTCCATGTGGGCTGAACTCAGCCCACCAGGCTCCAGGCAAAGAGCGACAGAGGCAGCCTGGAGAGGCAGAGGGGAGCCTCCATTCGCTCTGGAGGCGACTCCTCTGCTTCTTCAGGGTACCTGCCCCCCATTAAATGAAGCTGTGGTTGTTTTCTTCCTTGGGGGAGAATGGGAGTGTGCAGAGGTGCCCACGTGTCTCTAGGCACAGGCAAGAGCTAAAGCAGCAAGTGAGGGTGTGAAAAGAGAATAAGCTTCTCCCTCACTACTCAGCCGTCCCCCCTTTCGGGGTTACCAGCTTCCCTCTCTTCCCCTGGCCGCTTAGTTTCCCACCTACCACCCTCCTACCTTGGCCACGAAAAGCAGCCCCGGCAGCCTTCAGGGCCCAGTGACAACATGGGTAGGAGGGAGCCATCACCATGGGCTGGGGGCAGGGGCCAGGGCTTTAGCACTGAGAACCTCCCCAGGATCCTGTGGGTGGGAGCCCCTCCTTGGGGAGCCCTGAGGCTGCAATACAAGGTGACAGGAAGAAGGAGCTGCGTCTTTCTGGCTCTGGGGGGGTCACATGAGGAGGGGACCATCACCTTGGCTTTGTGGGCCTTCACTGGAAATAACAGCACTCGCTCCCTCTTCCCTTTCCTGCTTACACTCAGGACAGGAAGAGATCCTAGGCTTTGGTGGGCAGAACTTGGATTTAGCCCAGCTCTGTGGCTCCCTGGCTGTGTGGTCCTAGGCAAGTCATAGAACCTCTCTGAGCTCATATTTTTCATGTATCAGAAGAGGAGTAATAAAAACACTTGGACAATTGTGCAGACTAAATGAATAACAGGCTCTAAAATGTCTTGTAAAGCATATCAGTGATGCATTCAGTTGGGGTGGAATAGACATCGGATGGAGAGATGGGCTTAGGCTCAAGGTGGAGAAGCCATCAAAGAGGGCAGAGAGGGGGACCTCCTCCTTGAATCCTGCAGCCCCAGGAGAAGCCCCTGGAAGCCTGGATCTCCCTAGCTGTCAGCTCAGGGCACTTCTCCATCGGGAGGCTGGAGGATGGTTTTGGTGGAAGTGGCTGTTGGAGGGTTTTGGTGGAAGGGCACCTCGAAGGGAAAGCACAACTGGAATGCAACAGTATTCCAGGTACACTCCTCTTCCCCTCTTTCTCCTCCTTTTTCCCTCTCCCCCCACTCCTCCTCTTTCTCTCCTTCCTCATCCTTCTTCTCTCCCCCCATCCTCCTCCTCCTCCTCTCCCTCTTCTCGACCCCCTCCCCCATCTCTGCTCACTCGGACCTGGACACAGATACTCCCAGATCCTCTCACTCCAGTGTGCTGGGGTCAGTTTCCCCTAAGGGTGACCTTGCTCTGCTGCAAACCCCTGGATGAGTCCCTTAATCTCTCTGGGCTGTAGTCTCTTCAGGTGTAAATAAAGAGGGTGAAGCTCTGCATCCTCCACAGTCCCTTTCTGTTCTAAACATTTTGCAATTTTCTTGATGCTCTGTTAAAGTTGCTTAATTTTTATTTTTGGGGGGCTGTTTTTCAGAGTGTGAGCTAGGAATTGGGAGTTGGATGCTTGCAGCTCTGAAACACTTTCTGGGCCTTGGACTACTAGGGATTTGGTGGCTTGGTCCATAGGACCAATCTTGGCTGACCTGCTTCCTACCCCTTGAGCCCCCGGTCGCCTGCCAGCCAGGAGGTGCCCCATTATTACTGGAAGGTCCTGAAGAGCAGATGGGGAGCTGGGTGTCACAGCTCCTGGGAAACCCTAAGGGAGTGGAGACCAGGCTGCTTTCTCTGGGAAGAAATGCAATGGGACAGTGAACCTGGTAAGTACAGCAGTTGCCTGATGGAATAAAGTCTGTTACTTTCATCTGAATAGTTTAAGGAACTTTCAAAGACACTCAGATGTTTAGAAATAAAAGAGTCTTGCCTTTCGGCCGGAACCACTATCTTCCAGTAATTCGCCAAAATGACCAACACAAAGGGAAAGAGGAGAGGTACCCGCTATATGTTCTCTAGGCCTTTTAGAAAACATGGAGTTGTTCCTTTGGCCACATACATGCGAATCTATAAGAAAGGTGATATTGTGGACATCAAGGGAATGGGCACTGTTCAAAAAGGAATGCCCCACAAATGTTACCATGGCAAAACTGGAAGGGTCTACAATGTTACTCAGCATGCTGTTGGCATTGTTGTAAACAAACAAGTTAAGGGCAAGATTCTTGCCAAGAGAATTAATGTCCGCATTGAGCATATTAAACACTCAAAGAGCCGAGAGAGCTTCCTGAAGCGTGTGAAGGAAAATGATCAGAAAAAGAAGGAAGCCAAAGAGAAAGGTACTGGGGTCCAACTGAAGTGCCAGCCTGCCCCACCCAGAGAAGCACACTTTGTGAGAACCAATAGAAAGGAGCCTGAACTGCTGGAACCCATTCTCTATGAATTCATGGCATGATAACTGTAAAGAAAATAAAAGACCTCTGGATTGTAAAAAAAAAAGAAAGAAAGAAAGAAAGAAAGAAGAAAGAAAGAAAGAAAGAAATAGAAGAGTCTTAACGATCAACCTTTCCTATTTGTCTCTACTTGGAATATGGGGCCCCACTCGGTCTTCTTGACTTCTAGGTCAAATCTCTTTCCTTTGTGCCATGCTGGACTTTTGACTTTGGCTGTTGGCTAGAGGATAAAATGATTTGTCCTATATTCAGAGTAGAGGCCAGTTGCATGGTAAGGCATGGGCGAGCTTTCTCAAGTTGCTAACATGTGTCATGAGGGAAGGTTGGAAGGCAACCCAGAAGTGTGGACACTCTGTTCCATATCTACTCTTGTTTCCCACCAAGAGCAGCAGGAGGGGGCATGCCCCGGTCCCAGCTCGGCCCCAGGAGCACGGGGGTACAGATTACCTGGTCCCTCTGCCGATCGGAGACTGAAGACAAAGCTGCCAGCAGGCTGCTCAGCAGCCTGGCGGTACCACAGAGGGAAGTGGTCCATGGTGAACACACTGTCCTCATCCTCAGGAGTCAGGAACTTTCTGCAAAGAGACAGATTTGGTACCTCCCCCACCCAAATCAGGGAACATTCTCTTTTGTCACACAAGGTCATCTTGGCTGGGAGAGATTCACCTCTGCTTTGGTAGAGTTGCCGGCAGAAAATATAAGCCCCTAACTGTTTTACCCCAGACAATATTCCTCAGCAATTCCTGCTTTTTCCAGAATCAAATGCAGTTGCACCTGATGGCACATTAGTAGCTAGAAGAGGCATAGAGCCTGTACTGTGAAAGGAGACTTTTTTTTTTTTTTTTTTTTTTGGTAATGAAAACTCCTTTGCCTGCTGGGTTTATTTCTTTTGGATATAGCCTAATTTCTTTTTGTTTGACTAATTGGCATGTTTGATGGGGCAATTTTATAGTGAACTCTATCACAGCACTAATAGAAGGGCATAAATTCCCCTAAAATGTTTACTTCAAAAGTCATTGCCTCTAGGGTTTAGGATGCATTATGAGTTATCTTTTTCTTGAGCAGCTTTACCTTGCTAATTATGATTTTGCATTCCCTGAACACACAGCAGCCAGCAGAAGGGGTGTTGGTTCAGAAGCAGAGTGGGAGGCGGGGAGAAGCTGGTTTGTGGATCAAAAAAGACACTGGATAACCCACAAGGTGGATAATTGAAGTTTGATTTTAAGAGTGGTTGGCTTATGTATTCCAGAAGCTACCTGCCTTGTTGCACAATTGCTGGCTGCCAGTCACAGCATGGTCTAGGTGAAGGGAGCCCTCTGGAGTTGCATGGTGTCTGTGCGGCCATTCGTGGTGGCTGCATTAGTACCCAGGAGGGTCTCTCTGTACTGAGATTTCCATCTTCCATACTTGGAAGCCTTTCAGAGAGGGTGCAGGGGAATGCTGAGGATGCCTTCACCCCCTTCCTGCCAGGTGTGGTTCACCCTGTCCAACTTTGGCCAATGAAATGGGTATGTGATTTTCTGAGTGGGGATAGAAGTTTAAGGGGATGAGGAAGTACAAGTGGGTAGCCCACTGGAGGGGTCGTGAGTGTGGGGAGGTCAGCTCCCCACACTTTTTAAGGCCTTCGGGTGAATCTACAATTCACCCACCAGATTCAGTCCATTAAATCATTTGCTGTGTCTCTAACAGGGCCAAGGAAAGGGTTAGCGAGGCAGAGTGCTCTCCTCTGTTCACCTCTTCTGGCAGTGAGGGGAGGTGGGGAGAGGAAAAGCAACTAGATTTGTTTTCCTAGAAAGCCTCCGCTTTCTAGCAAGTGTGGATCTGTCAGAGTCCTGGAAGAAGCTCAAAGATGGCTCTGTGGCCGTGTGCTTGCATTCAGGGAGAGGAGCAGTGAGCAGGTGCGAGGCCAGGACCCTGCAGTGCCTCCTCGGCCCTTCCCCTCCGAGTGCCTGGTGGCCTCTGCCGATTTGAGTCTCCTGGTTTGCAGAGTGGCAGGGGCTCTGCTCTCCTGACCCCACCCCCCAACCCCCTTCTCTGGCTCCCTTTGCTGAGGACACTCCACAAGCTGACCTCCCAGAATCCAGGCTTGGCTGGGAGCAGGGTCTCTCAGCTTCAGCACTATTGACATTTTAGGCCAGACAATGGTTGTGAGGATGTTTAACACCATCCCTGGCTTCTGCCCACTAGGTGCCGGTAGCAAACGCCCGTCCCCTAGCTGTGACAACTAAAAATGTCTGTACACATTGAGAAAAGTCCCTGGAGTGAGGGTGGGGGAAATCAGCCCCGGTTCAGAATTGCTGGCCTAGGGGATGTGTAAGTTGTCAATAAAGGAGGGGATGCAGCCAAATGACTTAGCTTGTCGCATACAGATTGGTCACAGGGGTAACAGCTTCTGGGTTTCCCTTTGTGGAAGTGATTAACCCTTACAACCTTAGTGTCCTTGCCTGTTTGGGCCACTGTCCTTTCTCTCCTGGGGATGCCTCCAGGATGCATCTAAGTGTGGTAGAAGTCGTACTTTTCTGATGCTCCCAATCTGCAAACCACAACCCTTCCACGCTCTGTGCACGCACCATCCCACCCTGCCACCCCACCCCCGATGCTGAATCTGCCTGCCCACAGGCTGTAGGATCACCCTGCAAGGATCGCCCTCCCGGGATCCGGGGTACTCAGCAGGACTCACTTGTCGGAGACCTTCTCAGAGCCCACAAACAAACTGCTTCTGAGGAGGCCGGCCCGGGTGCCCAGGAAGGCCATGTCCACCGCTTGCTTGGACTCACTGTAAGGTAGACAGAGCAGGTATCATTACCACACAGTGCAGCGACAGGTGTAGGAAGGGGGCACCAGGAGCCGGGGAAGGCCTGCAGGCCTCTACTAGTGCCTGGCCTGATCTACCTGGTGGTGAGGGGCAGGGTGCAGGCAGGCAGACTGGTTGCTCAGGGGGTTGCACACACATGCACTGTCCATCCATGGTGAGCATGTTTGTTGCATCTGGTCAACCTGGCGCCCCTGGGCAGCACCTTCCTTTGTTAGTGGGGTCCCCTGGGGCTCTGCCTTTATGCCCTTTTTTTTTCCTTTTTCCTCCTAACATGTCCATCCAGGTTTTGGGGAGAGTTGGCTCTGGAAGACAGAAGGAATTCAGGAAAAGAGATGTTGTCTTGGGACCTCCGGAATGGGAACTTCTCATGACCAACACTTATAGGACACTTCACGGTTTTAAAAACTTTTTCACATGTTTACCTTCTTATTGAAATGTGAAAGGAAGAAGAGCAGACGCTATCTGCACTCACCTACATGAACCCAGTGGACTTAATAGCCTTGCCAACAAGATTTGAGAAAGAAAATCCATTAGCTAAGCTGGAGTGTAACTCTACTTCCACGATGATAGCACCAGCATGAAAGTCATCATTTCTTTCTTTCTTTCTTCTTCTTTCTTTCTTCTTTCTTCTCTTCTTCTTCTTTCTTTCTTCTCTTTCTTTCTTTCTTTCTTTCTTTCTTTCTTTTAGATTATAGTTTTTTTGAGATACAATTGACGTAAAATTTTAAGATTTTTAAGTGTTCATCATGGTTATTTGATTACATATATATATAATTTATATATATATAAATAGACTCCTCCTATTTATATATATATAAAAAGGCTCCTCCCTTTCACATCATATCAGGTATTTATCTTTTTTGGGGGGAGGTGAGAATATTTAAGTTCTACTCTCTTAGCTAATTTCAATTATACAGTTATACAGTTGTATTATCAACTACAGTCACCACGTTTTAATTAGACCCCCAGGTTTTCTTCCTCCTGTAGTTGAAAGAGTGTGCTGACCACTTGCCCCAGCAGCCCACAGCAATCACTTTCCTTCTCTCTGTTTCTATGAGTTTGGCTTTATTTTATTTTATTATTTTATAGATTCCACATATAAGTGATACTATGTAGTCTTTCTCCGTCTGGTTTGTCTCACTTAGCATAATGCCCTCCAGGTTCATCTAGATGGTCACAAATGGCAGGATTTCCTTCCTCATGGTGGAATAGAATTTCATTGCGTATATATACACCACATCTTATTTGTCCATTCATCCACTGATGACAGGTTGTTTCTATACCTTGGCTATTGTAAATAATACTGCAATGAACATTAAGGTATAGATATTTCTTCAAGACAATGGTTTAATTTATTTCCTTTGGATAAATAATCAGAAGTGAGATTGCTGGACCATGGGGTAGTTCTATTTTTAGTTTTTTGAGGTACCTCCAAACTATTGTTCACAGTCGCTATACTGTTTCACATTCCCACCACTCTACTACCACTCAGGCACTCCTGATGCAATTCTTTATTCAAATGTAGTAGAGAATAATCTAATGAGACTCCTGCACCCATAAATCAGCCTCAACAATTACCAGCCCATGCCAATCTTATTTTATCTATAGCCTCCCCTGGCTCCTCAACTAGATTATTCTGAAGCAAATCTCAGATACCATTTCATTGGTAAATATTTTAATTTCTATCATTAAAATATAAGGCATGAAAAAATCTTTAATGCTATTATCACACCTAAAAAACTCCATAATTCCTTAATAGCATCAGATAATTCAATAATCCACAATCATTTTTTTTAGCTTATTTGAATGAGATTCTGACTAGGGTCCTCAAATTCATGTCTCATTTTTTTCCTCTCTTTCTCTTCTCTATCTAGAGCTAGAGCCAGACATTTATATTTATTGAACTATAATCCACTTGCCATATACTTCATCCATTTGAAGTGTGCAGTTATGATTTTTGTATATCCACGGAGTTGTGCGGTCATCACCAACCAGCCTATTTTAGGACATTTCATTAACCCCCAGAAGGAACCCCATACCTATTAGCAGTCACCTTTAGTCACTTTGAACCTTTCTCTCTCCTCTCTCCCTCTCTTCTCTTTTCCTTGCAACTTATTTGCTGGAGTAGGTCATTTGTTCTGTAGAGCTTCTGCTTTCTGGGTTTAGCTGATCATGATGCTGTGGTGTTATGCTCTCTTGTTCCCTGTATTTCTTATAAACCAGCAGTTAGACCTACTGGCTGGATCAGATATAGTTTTGAATTACTATAGGTGGTGTGTTCTTTGTCAAGAGGCACCCACTATCTGATTGACTAGAGGTTGCAAAATAGGGACATTGCTTGATTCCTTTCTTATTTTATTTGTACCTGAAATACTTGTATAAAGATAAACTTCTCCTCATCAATATTTGGTTATCCTGAGATGCAATTTGTACAGGAGAGGCAGGATAAATAATTGAGTGCCTGCTTATTCACCAGTTTTTAGAATGAGTTGGCTTCCTAACATCTTCTGAAGATGACCAAAAAGGTTTTTTTCCTCCTCAGTATCATTATGAACACAGGATATAAACACATTTAATATGTTTTAATCTGTTGTAGTTGTCCTTACTTTTACTGCTCCCATTGTCCTATCTTTAACCAGTAAGAACCACTTCATTTTGGTTCTGGGGTCCCCCTGGCACAATGTCATTATAGTCTTCAGTAACTTCTTCCTTCTGATTATGACAAGATGCTCCTGGCTTATTTTGTACACTTTCTGCCCCTGTCCTGAATCAGACATTTCTCCAAGGATTGCTGACTCATTTTAATGAGGACTTCTTAATTTGCACATTGAAAGTCCACAATCCAGCTCTGGGGTACTCACTGAGGTTGGTCTTTTTGGTGGTCAGGGCCAGGATATCCCTTTTGTTTCTTTCAGAGAAAACACATCACAAGTTCATTGATAGTTCCAATTCATATTCAGCAGTACGTCTTCTTTGATTTAAAAACTTTGCACCTCTTTTTTCATTTGCTGAAAACCTTGCTTCCTAATGACATTAACATGATACTATTTGCTCTATCCAACTACATAGTTTGAGAAAACAGTGTCAATATTGTTTCTAGCAATGTGGTTATTGAACACAGTTTAAGATTTTATTTATTTATTGTTTATGGTTCAGTTTTCAAGTCCCTTGAAAGAATTCACCTATTGTTATGTCATGAACTTGATATATAACTAGGTTTATTTCATTTGCTTTAGAATTTTTAAAGCTTATTTTTTGAAATCTGATTTTGTTTTATGATGATATAAAGCATTTACATGGTTCCAAAGTCAAATATGCAAAATAGAGCATATTCATAAGCCTGTCTTCATCCCCGTTATTTCACTCTGCCTAAAGTAATCTTTTTTATTTGCTTGTTTATTGTTCCATTACAAAAATATATGTGCACATATGTATATACATACTTGTATCTATGTTTATATATATGTGAGTAACTATGAAAATATATTTGCATCTCCTCCTTTTAAATAAATAGTGATGGTATTATATATACTTTTCTCCATTGGTGAGACCATTCCGTTGCAGCATATAGATTTCCCATTTTTTACAGTTACATAGTATTCCATTTTGGGGATCTACTATGGTTTATTTAATGAGGCTCCTACTGATGGATTCAGGTTACTTATTTATTTTTAAAAGATCTTGCTTATTTATTCATGAGAGACACAGAGAGAGGCAGAGACATAGGCAGAAGGAGAAGCAGGGTCCCCATGGGGAGCCCGATGCAGAATTCGATCTCAGGAACCCGGGATCACACCCTTAGCCGAAGGCAGACGCTCAACCACTGAGCCACCCAGGAGTCCCTGGATTTAGGTTATTTTCTGTCTTTCACTGTTATAAATGGAGCTGTAACAAAAAGCTTATGTATATATCTTTTCTTATTTTTACTAGTATATCTTTGGGATGCATTCCTAGAAGTGATATTGCTGAGTCAGAGTGTAAATGCATATGTAGTTTGTTAGATATTATTAAATTGTCCTCTATAGCCTTTGAGACATTTTGTATATCCACTGGCAATATATAGGAGCCTGATCCCCCCACAGCCTTGCCAGCCATGAACCACAACAAACTTAGATGGTTATCAATCTGATGAATGACAAATATAATCTTGGTATACTTTAAATTTGCATTCTTTTTATTATGAGCTAGACCGATCTTTTTTTTTTTTCTTCATATATTTAAGGACTATTTGTATGTGTTCTCTGAACTACCCATATCTCTTGGTCCTTTTTCCTATAAAGTGGTTGGTTTTTTACTTCACTATTTTTGAAGCTCTTCATTTATTGTGAATATATGATGTAGGGATAGTAAGCTTTTATTTGTTATATAAGTTGCAAACATTTTTTTGGTTTGTCATTTCTGTTTTCACCTTGCTCACGTTTTTATTTTTGCCAAATAAACATTTTTATGCTGTTTAATTTGTCAGTCATTCTTTTATTGCTTCTGAATTTTGAGTGATCATTGGGAAAGGTTTCCTAATTCCTAGATTTTAGAGCAATTGACTCATTTTTTTATAGTACTTATATGGTTTCATTTTTTTTTACATTTAAATCTGAGTCATTTGGATTTTATCCAGGTGTACGATGTGAGGAAATAATACAATTTTATCATTCTCCATATGGCTCTCAAACCAATTATTAAAGAGTCAATTTTTCTCTCATGATGGTCTGACATGATGTCTTTCCACATGCATTTAGATGAATTTCTGTATTTTTAAAAAGATTTTATTTATTTATTCATGGGAGACAGAGAGAAGCAGAGACATAGGCAGAGGGAGAACTAGGCTCCCTGTGGGGAGCCTGATGCAGGACTCGATACCAGGACCCCAGGATCATAACCTGAGCCAAAGGCAGATGCTCAATTGCTGAGCCACCCAGGTGCCCTAATTTCTGGATTTTCTATTCCATCCCATTGGTCTGCCTTTCTAGTCACGTGTCAATACTACACTTTACAGAGATTTTGTCATACTGTTTTAATACGTTGGTAGGACCAAACTTCCTTTGTTGCTTTGCTGTTTCTGGAATTTCTTGACTCTTCTTCCAGATAAACTTTATAATCCATTTACCTGGATCCAGAAAAATAGTGATGACATTTTTATTGGGATTGTTATATTTATAAATTAACTTAGAGAGTATTAATGTCTTCGTGATGTTGATGCTTTCTACCCAAAAACACTGAATATATCTCCCCATGTGTTCAAGTCAACTTTTGTGTCTTCCAGGAGTATTTTGTAATTCTTCTTATGTAAGCTTTAGGGCATATTTTATATGCGATACCGAGGTGTTTCATTACATTCTGTTTTTTGCCTTCTTGAATATGTTTTTATCTAGTTTTTGTTTGCATAGATTAAGGATATTAATTTTTGAATGTTCATATTGTAACCTGCTACTTTACTAAATTCTCTTATTGTTTATAGTAGTTTTCCTATAAATTCTTTTGGGGCTTCCAGATACATAATCTTATCACCCTCTTAAGCAGAGATAATTTACTTCACCCTTTCCAAATCTCATTGCTTCTATGTGCATTCTCTTGTCTGGCTACATTGACTGATACTTTCTGACCTTGTTAAATAGTAGTAAGGATATGGGAATGCCTGTCTTAGTCCTGTCTTTAGTTGAGAGAGCCTCTAGCTCCACTCAGATGTTGACTTTCAGGCTTAGGTTATTTATTTTTTTTTTCAAGATTTTTATTTTTATTTTATTTATTTATTATTTATTTTTTAAAAGATTTTTATTTTTATTTTTTAAAAGGTTTTATTTATTTAATCGAGAGAGAGAGAGAGAGAGAGAGAGAGAGAGACAGAGGCAAAGACACAGGCAGAGGGAGAAGCAGGCTCCATGCAGGGAGCCTGAGGTGGGACTCGATCCCGGGTCTCCAGGATCACGCCCTGGGCTACAGGCGGTGCTAAACCGCTGAGCCACCCGGGCTGCCCAAGATTTTTATTTTTAATAAAATAATCTCTACACCTAGTATAGGGTTTGAATTTATAACCCTGAGATCAAGAATTGCATGCTCTGTAACCTAAGCCAGCCAGGCACCCCTGGTCAATTTTAATTTTATTGATTGGTTTAAAAAAACATGCATGGAGGGCAGCCGGGGTGGCTCAGTGGTTCAGCGCAGCCTTCAGCCTAGAGTGTGGTTCTGGAGACCTGAGATGGAGTCCCACATCAGGCTCCTCGCTTGGAGCCTGCTTCTCCCTCTGCCTGTGTCTCTGCCTCTCTCTCTGTATCTCCCATGAATAAAATCTTTTTTTTTTTCATGAATAAAATCTCTAAAAAAACATGCATGGATATTAATATTTGTTCAAATATCTTTTCTGCATCTATAAGGGTGATTATACGATTTTTCCCCTTAGCTTTATTAATATGCCATTTTATATTCATTCTCTAGGTCTTCTTTTTCTAATATACATCTTGGTTAAGAATATTTGTTCTTCAGTGTCTCTCAACATTAAAAATGTCTATGGCTAATTTCTGAACTTAGAAAGATGAAGATCATGTCCTTCCTCTCCAAACCAATGATCCAATCCCCTATGCCTCAGAACCAGGCTGCCTGGTTTTGACTCTGGCTTCACCACTTGTGAGGCATATGATCTTGGGCAAGTTGCTTATCTCACTCTGCCTTGGTTTCCTCATTTGTAAAATAGGAATAATGATAGTACCCATATTGTAAGGTGGGTATGAGGCTCATTAGTTAACATACACCAAGTACTTAGTACTTGGCCTGCTATATTCTCTTTGTGTTCTCTAGTTTTATTTTGTATAGGTAATACATTTACATGATTCAAAATTGTACCAAAAAATTATACAGTGAGAAGTGTCCCTTACATCCCTGTTTTAGTTACCCATTTTCCTAATGAGAAGCAACCAATGAGAACTCTTTCCTATTTGGCCTTTCATAGATGTTTTATATACATACATGTACAGATATCTGTGTTTTGCTTCCATTTTATAGAAATGGTATACTGTACACAATGTTCTGCATCATGCTTTTTAAAATAGGTGATTATTTCATATAAAATTCTGTTGTTTTCATTAAGATAGCATTAATTGAGTGTCCAGGAGAGGTTAGACATCTTAATGATGCTAATGTTGAATCTTCCTATTCAGGAACAAGGTATAGTCTGCTGTATTCTTGACCTCATCAATTTCTTGCACCCTTCCAACATGCATGTGCACACACTTGTATACACACACTCTCACACAAGCCATTCATTTCTGCTTTCTACCTTGTCCACTAAATATGATGCCACTAGGTAAAGGGAGTGAGAAAATCTAAGGCCCTGGGAAAGACCAAGGCCAAGTTTGTATTTCATAGTGTCTTGACTTTACTTCCTGGAAACCGGGTCTTGATCTGCTTGAACCACTCTTTCCAGGGTACTTGGCAAATGGACTCAGACAGCTACAGCCCAACCTAGAGAGAGGTGTTCTTGGAATGGAACTACTGCAGTGTGGGTAGGGGATCTGGACCTACACCCGGGGGGACCTGCACTTGGTGCTTTTCCGGGGGGGGGAGCAGCAGCATGTGTGGGGTGTGGAAGCTGTGCCAAGTCCCTGCTTTACTGGGTCCATGTGAAGGTAGCTCTCACTCCCCCAATGTCTTCCCACTGTCATCACATTCATCTTGGACCCAGTTGTCTCCTGAGCTGTCAGCCAGGTAGTGGGAGGGACCCTGACAGCCAAGGGAATCCTGGGGGTTGGAGCTGCTTCTTTTTTCAGAACCCTCAGCCCTACCCCAAACATACTCAGAGGCGTTGAGAGCCAGCGCTGTCCAGTAGGCTTCCATGGGGGCTGTAACCACCGCATCAAGCAGTACCTCCCGTACCAGCTCCTCATCACCTGGGGGCAGAATAAAAGATAAAACCACTTATGTCCTCCATGATGATGAAAACAGCTCATCTGCCCTTGTGAGGAACCCTGAACTTTAGGAATTGGGATGTGCCTCATAAACATGTATCTGGGCTTGTAAAACTATCTATGTAAGCTTGAGGAAATCGTGTTGCCTCTCTTAGGCTTCACATCTTCAATCACAAGCAATATTGAGTAGAACTGATTTCTAAGGCCCTTCTCAGTTCTGGTATTCTGAGATTAGAACCCCTCAATGACATCAGACCTTGACCTGAATCCAGGCCACCTCTCTCTCTGCTGCCATCAGTCTGCAACTTGATCATCACCCTCCCAACACACTGGCCTTTTGCCAGTTCTATGAATTTGAATTTGCCTCAGAGTCTCTGTGCATGCTGTTCCTTGGTCTGGACGCTTTCCTCCTACTCTTTGCATGGGTGGCTCTTTTCCTTCTCTCTTTTTTAAAAATAATTATTTACTTTTATTGAGGTAAAATCTACATTAACTAAATCAACTAATTTAAAGTATACAAATCCGTGGAATTTCATACATTCACAGTGATATACATCATCACTTCTGTCCAGATCTATACCCAAAGCAGATCCTGTACCCTTGAAGGCACTTGGGTGGTTCTTTTTCATCTTCAGCATAAGTAACACTGTCTGACAGAGTTAGGGGTGATAAAGGATCCCATACAGCATCCTATTCACGGCACTTGCCACAGTTTGGAATAACCTACATCTACATACAAATGCTTGCTTCTTTATTGTGTGGCTTCTCCACTGGATTACAAGCTCCCTGAGAGTAAGGGCCTCGTCTATTTGGGTCCTCTCTGCAGCTTTAGTGCCCACCCCAGGCCTGGCACAGAGTACATACTTAGTACAGATTTACTGATGGAATGAATGAACGAGCTAATGAGTGCCTTGTTGGGCCAGCATGGGAGGCAAAGTATTCCTTTGGGGTGATACTTATGTGTCAGGATGACCAGTTTCTCTTCCAAAGATGAAGAAGAGGGACCCCGCTGAGGGTATGGCCCTGTGATTTCACCAGTTGCATCTGTGTTGGGAAATTTAAGATTACCCTGAGAACTAGGCACTGGACAACACTCACAGACTACAAGACACCATCTGTCCAAATGTTCCTTTGCTGAGATGAAGACTTTAGGGTAAAGAGCATTAGCTACTGGTTTGGCCGCCTACTGCTAGGTGGTGATAGGGGCAGATCTATGGACAGGCTGATGTCCTTATACTATGTGTCTCTTTGGAGCCCTAACAGTGCCCAGGTGAAAGAGGCTTACAGTGATCCCAGTCCCTGACATGTGGGTATACTCATGCTGCACAGTGCCAGGAACACTTAGACAAAGCTGGTTCTGATTTTTTCTTTGAAAATCTCTGTTTTCCCTAAGCCATGGGTGAGTTCAAAGGATAAGGCTAATTGGCAGTAAGTAAATTCCTCAGTGGCTCAGCCATGAAAAAGAGTGAAACCTTGCCATTCGGAACAACATGGATGGATCTAGAGAATATTATGCTAAATGAAATAAGTTAGTCAAGGAAAGACAAACACCATATGATTTCACTCATATGTGGAATTTAAGAAGCAAAACAAACAGAAAAAAGAGAAGAACAAAACATAGACTCTTTTTTTTTTTTTTAAACATAGACTCTTGAAGGACAAACAGTGTATGTTCTCACTTATTTGGGGAATATGAATAATAGTGAAGGGGAATATAAGGGAAGGGAGAAGAAATGTGTGGGAGATATCAGAAAGGGACACAGAACATAAAGACTTCTAACTCTGGGAAATGAACTAGGGGTGGTGGAAGGGGAGGAGGGCGGGGGGTGGGGGTGAATGGGTGACGGGCACGGAGGGGGACACTTGACGGGATGAGCACTGGGTGTTATTCTGTATGTTGGTAAATTGAACACCAATAAAAATTAATTTATAAAAAAAAAAAACATAGACTCTTAACTACAGAGAACAAACAGATGGTTACTATAGGGGAGGTGGGTGGGGGGACGGATGAAACAAGTGATGGGGATTAAGGAGGGCACTTATGATGAGCACTGGGTAATGAATAGAATTGTTGAATCACTATACTGTACACCTGAAACTAATAGAACACTATATTAATTATGCTTGAATAAAAAGATCAATAATGGTAATGAATAATAAAATGTCAGTAATTCAACACTTAAAAAAACACATCAAGAACTTACTTATCAAGGTTAGTGTTTTTTTCTGATTTTACTTTAAATTTGTTTATATTATTTTTGATAAGTGACACATTAAAACTCACATGTAGTCAAATTTTGAAAAAAAGGAAAGGAGAGACAAGAAAAGAAAAGAAAAGAAGAGAGAGAAGAGGAGAGAAGAAGAGAAGAGAAGAGAAGAGAAGAGAAGAGAAGAGAAGAGAAGAGAAGAGAAGAGAAAGAAGAGAAAGAAGAGAAGAGAAAAAAGTCCTCTGTGGGTGGGGTCAGCACTCACACTCCAGATCTGGGTCCTGTCCTGTCAAAAAGCGGACCATGGCCTCCAGCTGGCCGAGCTTCCGGTGGTCAGGGTCAATATCTGTGATGCAATAGATCCTGGGGCCCAGGAGAGTCATGTTAGCTCAAGAAAATTTCATCTTTCTCCCTCTCATTCTCTTGTCCTCACATACAGTGACCTTCTCACTTACCAATCACTGGCCAAGGTCAGATCTGGGTGAAGCAAGTCATGCAAGCCTGGAAGCAAAGCTCACACTCAGTAAGAAGCTCAGCCACTGTTGTGAGGTTATACACCTGACTGTTTACAAACAACTGCCAGGCAGCTTCTCCACAGAAGGACTGGGTTTTATTCTTCCTTCTTCTCAGCTCAGAGTAGGAACTCAACCAATAGGATGGTGTTGGATTTGTAGAGATCATGCCTTTGTCCATGTTGCTCCTGCTTTTTCTGAAATGCTTTTTCTTCCCATTGCCTCATGTCCAAATCCTACCTATTAGGGTCTCTCTCAAAGGAGCTAAGACTTTGAAATCAGTGATTTTGGCTTCATGGGCTTCATTGTACCCAACTAAGCTAAATGGCCAGCCAAAAGAAGAGCCCAGAGATGGCCCATGTATGTTTGGTATAATCTCTGTAGCTTCATGCTATACCGACACTAACCGTGTACCCAGTACATGTTTGTGGATTGAATTAGTAAGGAAAAAATGCCCTTCTGAGCACCTACTTGGTCCTAAAAAATAAATAGGTGCTCAATTGGGGTCTGTTAAATTGAAGGAAAGGATGATGGAAATGCCAAGGGGGTATTTGTGGAGTCATTAAAAGGGGTACTGGATTGACATAGACTAAGGCAAATAGCTAAAGGGTGATGCTCCTTCCCCCACAGTAAGCCTGGCCAAGTCTATAGTTCTAAGCTTCTGGGTCACTGCTTGGTCTCACCCACAGAGGCGGGTGAGGGATAGCACCCTCTGCTCCCTGAAGTAATGTAATCTGAGAATATCTGGGTACAGGAAGCAAAGTATAGGAAGGGAGAAGGCACCATAGAGGCTCAGGGAGTTTGATCATTTTGGGGACAGTGGAAGACAGAGAAGGAGAGAGATCCAAGAAAATGAATATGTGTTGTGAAAGGGTGAATGCAGGGGGCAAAGAGGGTCTGCCAGGGACAGCTGCAAGAAAAGTCACATCTATGCTGGGACGTGAAGAGTGGGTCCAAATTAGCTGAGATAAGAGGGTGGGCACTGGAAAGGAGAGCATTTCATGGGTGAGCACAGCACATGGGAAGACCTTGAAGCATAGTGCAGGAAGAAATGACAAAAAAAAAAAAAAAAATCCAGAAGGCCACTGAAGGTCCTTTAGCAATGACACAATTTGATCTGGCATTTCTAGATAGGACCCTCTAGCAGAGATTTACAAAAAGGAAGAGGCAGGGAGACCAGTTGGAAGCTGCTGTGGTTGTTCAGGAGAGAGGTGACAATGACCAGGGTGGTGGCAGAGAGACGGACAGATGAGATGCACTCAAGAGATGATAAAGAAGAATGGACAGAATGTGATCATTAGATAAAACACTCCCTGAGACATCTTGAGCCCTGGATATTGGTTTTATGCTCTCAAGGTGCTCAGGCAGCTAGGAGTCAAGAAAAGGCTGGTTTGAGGGGGTGGGGCCCTTCTCTCCCATCCTTCCCCACCATTTCTCACTGCCCCTCTCAGTTCACGTCTCATAAGATCCCTGCTATGGGTTGAGTTGTGTCCTCCAAAAAGATATGTAAGTATGAACCCCAGTCCTTGTGACTGTGACCTTATCTGGAAATAGGGTCTTGGCAGATGTAGTCAAGTGAAGGTGAAGCCATCAGGTTGTGCCCCAAATCCAGTATGCCTGGTGTCCTACAAGGTTAGAGACCCACAGGGGGAGAAACCCTGTGATGAGGACAGAGGCTGAAGTCAAGGAATGCCTGGGTCTACCAGGAGCCAATGAGGATCCCACCCTGGAGGTGTTGAAGGGGACACTGCCTCCAGAACTACAAGGGAATGCATTTCTGTTGTTTAAACCAGCCAGTGTGTGGTACTTTGTTGTGGCAGTCCTAGCTAACAGCTACAGATTTTTTCCTTTGTTCTTCTCGGCCTCCTCTGTCTGAAGTTCAGCTTTGTTCAGAGAAACACATCCCTTCGAGGCCCACCTCCTCTGGTCCAGCCAACTATCCACAATGGCAAGTCCTAGGCTTTGCCAGCTTTGACAACTGACTGGCAGATCCTGCAGATCCACACAGACTCCCTCCTTGCCAGGCAGCCCTGCTCTGAGAGTCTGCCCTCAAGTCCGGGACCCGGGAGGCTCTGGCTTTGCCACAGGGTGGCCTTGCTCAGGGTCCCAGGAGAATCCGTTTCCCTCTACACTGCCCATAAGTAGTTGGCACAGACCCACCGTCTTCCGCAGATGTGTTCCCCAGGAGGATGTATTCTCCATGGCCCCGGGACAGCACCACACCCAGACTGTGGGGAAAACAGAGAATACACATACTCAGCAACAGCAAGAGCCAAGCAACGTCCAGCCCACTTCCTTGGCCTCAGTGACTTGAAGTTTATGAGCTTCCCACACCAACAAGGGGCATGCATGTCAACCCCCTTGCCGGTTGTCCCCTCTAGAACCGTTCTCTTTTTATCATCGGCCTTTCTTCCTGAGAAAGACCCTGTAAATTCTATAGTCCAAGAGCACCCTCAGCTCCCATTTTAGTCAAGATTCATCCCAAACATCTCAGGGGCCTTCTGAATCATGGAGAGGTTTCTATGTTCACAAGGTCCTGCAGATAGGGAGCCCTTTCCTGCCTGTTGAGCCCCACCGTCCTTCCTCTCTCTCCTGGTAGAAGATTGCTTTCCATGTTTGCTGAAGATCTGAATTTCTTAGGGAGCTTTAAATGGTACTAGTGCTGAACCCATCCCTGAAAATCTGAGTCCATTGGTTTGGGTGGGGCTGGGGCATCGGCAGTTTTGCCAAATTCCTCAAGTATTCTAATGAGCAGCCCAGGCTGAGCACTATACTTTGTTGAGAAATGAGGTAATTCAGAGATAAAGGCTATATGTTTCCTAATCTGTAAAATGCCTCAACTGAATACAGTTGGAAGGAACCCAAGACGTTTTCAAATTCGACCTTTCATCTTACAAACATGCTTACATTGCATGGCTTTAAGATCTTTAAGTAGATTATGTGTTTTACCCTCACAAACCACAAAGAAATACCTCCATTCTTGGCCTTGTTTTCAAAACAAGAATCAAGGGCAAAGGGCAGTTAAGTAACTTGACTAAGGTCACACTGCCTATTAGAGGTGGGGTTGAGACCCAACTCAGGCAGTCTGGCTCCTGACCCTGCACATTAGGATCATAGGCAAAGCAGGTCTAGACCTCGAGTTTCCTGAGGGCCAACCTGGGTTTTTTTCTATTACTGCAAAATTGCCAACTAAATGTGCATGGGTTCATCCCCAGACCTGAAGGTTCTGCCCTGAGTTGTTGGTATTTGTGTCCCAACCAGCCCTTCCCCTTCTATATAACACATGGGCCCCTTACCTGAAGGGTGTGTCACTGATGTCTGTGAAGAAGTAATCATTGGTCAGGAAAAGAACTCTCTTCTAAAAGAGGAAAGAAAAAGTGCTTGATGAAGAGAGGAGCACCTGACCAGGCCCCCTACCTCCTCACATGATGCCTTGGGGTTTCATTACCCCTGTACCACTTCCCTCACCTCTGACCCCTGGCTGGGACCGCATGCACCTGCCTCACCTCGTTGACGCCATCAGCAGGCCCACCATCGGGCCCGGCAAGCTGCAGCCATGGGGTTGTCTGATCAAAGGGACCAAAGTCTCCACCTGCACCAATCCCCTAAAAGTGGCTGCTAGCCACGTAGGGCTCTCCCTTGAAATGTGCGACTGAGGAACGGAAGTTTTAGGTTTTAGTTGAGTTACTATAAATTGGAATTTAGACAGCCAACGTGGCCAACATAGGACAGGGTGGCTGGCGATGTCAGGGCTCATAGGGGACCGGAGAGAGGCCACCAGCTGGTTCTAAAAGCTTCCGGAGCTCCTTTGTGTAATGACTCACCTACAAACTCCCCCTTTCTGGAATACAGCTGAGGGGGAGGAGGCACCGGTCCCCCCTCCACTAAACCCCTCCTGGGGCCACATCACCCTTTTACAACTCCTTTTTCCTTGCAAAGCTGCCACCTTTTGGGTTGAATTTGTGTAAGCGAGGGCATCATGGAGCATACACTGGGCCGGGCATCAGGCCAACCCGGACTTAAGGCCAGCTAGCTGTTCACAAGCTGTGTGCTGTAGGGTCAGCAGCATCGCTGCTCTAAGCATTAGAGTGCTCGTTTGTAAGTCAGAACTAAGGACAGCAGCCTGCCTAAGGTCACTGAGGTTGTGGTGTGTTGCTTGTGGTGGGGAGTGGGGCGGTGGGGGCGGGGAGCAGGATTTGAAGCTCTGTGCACCTTTCTGTCTGCAGACCCAAGTTTAGGACCCTCGAAAAAGCCACAGGTTGGAACTGACCCCAGAGCTGTTCTTATTCCCTTCACTTCTCTCTGCTTTTCTTTCATTTCGGAGATTCAAGTGTCAGAAGGGGATGTCGTGGGAGTGGGATGGCAAAAAAAGGGTTTGTTTCTATAGGAAACTAGTTTTAGACCAAAGCCTAGTGAAGCGCTCTCCAGGGCTGGCCTCATCCCTCGGCTGCCCTCTGCTGTCTCTGCCTCATTGGGATCCTCTCTGCAGTATCCCTCCAGCACAGCGGTCCTGTGGCTGCGATGGTCTTGGGAGCCTCATATTCCAAGGTGGGGCTGGCTTGAGTGTTGGAACTGAAGATCATCTGTTTAATTTTTTCTTTTTTTATTTATTAAAGAAAAAGGCAAAACACACAGATCTTAAGTGTATTCCTCTAGTATTTTTTTTCCTCTAGTATTTTTGATAAATGTACACAGTCATGGAGTCACATCCCCAGTCAAGATAAAGAGTGTTTGCATCCTCTAAAATCTCTTTGCCTCCCTCCAGTCCATCCCCGCCTCACCCTTCCAAGGGTGAACGGTTCTGAATTTGATCACCTTTGATTAGGTTTAGCTCCTTTGGATCTGGCTTCTTTTGCACAACATCATGTCCTTAAGGTCCACCTGTGTTATTACGTGTGTTGGCAGTGCGTTTCCTCTTGCTGCCGAGTAGTACTCCGATGTGTGCGATATTAGCTTGCCTTTACACTCACCTGTTGATGGGCATCTGGTGTGGGTTTCCAGGTGAGGCTATCATGCATAAACCTGCTACAAACATTCTCGACCGAGTCTTCCTGTGGACATGTTTTAATTTTGCTTGATAAATAACAGGAATGGAATTTCTGGGTCACATGCTCAAAGTATGTTAGCCTTCATAAAAAGCTGCCAATCTTCCAAAGTTGTCTTTATTATACTTCCACTAGCAGTGTACGAGTTCCAATTGCTCTACATCTTTGTCAGAATGTGATGTTATCAGTCCTTTACGTTTTAGCAGAGGGTATCAACTGGAATCTGATTGCAGTTGAGTTTGCATTTCCTCGATGACTAATGATACTTGGTTTCATATGCTTACCAGTCATGTGTAAGCCTTCATTTGTGAAGGGTCTGCTCAAGTATTTTGCCCATTTCTTTTATTGGGTTGTTAGTCTTTTTGTTAACAATCTGTAGGAGTTCCTTATGTATTCTGCACACAGTCTGGGCCTTACTTTTTCATTTTCTTAGTGGTGCCTTTTGATGAGCAGAACTTACTGTTTTTGATGAAGTCTGGCTTATCAAATTTTACTTTACGCTTAGTTCTCTAGGTGTTTTGTATAAGAAATCTTTGTATAACTTCAGGTTGTAAAGATTTTCTCCTATGCTCCCTTGTCGAAGACTTACAGTTCTAGCTTTTCCCTTGAAGACTATGATCCATCTCAAATTAGTTTTTCTATGTGGCGTAAGATACGGCTCACTGTTTATTTTCTTCATACATTTATTCAGTAGTTCCAGCACCATTTGTTAAAAAGATTTTCTTTCTCCATTGATTTGACATGCTGTCTTTGTTGAAAATCAGTTGACAATATGTGAATTTATTTCCAGATTCTCTTTTTGTCTATTCTTGTGTCAATACCACTCTGCTTGGCTACTGTAGCTTTATAGTCAGTTTTGAAATCATGTAGTATGAATCATTCAAATTTGTTCTTATTTTTCAAGGTCATTTTGGGCATTTTAGTCCTTTGCATTTTCATATAAATTTTGGAATCACTTTCTCCAGTTTACTTCTTATTCTAGATCTAGAAGAAGTCTGTTCAAATTTTGATTGGGAGTGAGTTGTATTTACAGATCAGTTTGGGGAAAATGGATGGCTTGGCAATATTGACTGACAACTTGTAAGCATGGCTATATCTTTGTATTTATTTAATTTTTTAATATTCTTTCCACACGTTATGTAGTTTTCAGTGAGGTCATTTATGACTGTTAAATTTATTCCTAAGTATTTTATATTGTTTGATGCTATTGAAATTGGAACTTAAAAATAATTTAGTTCTAATTGTTTGCTGATATACACACACACACATATGTATATATAAAATACAACTGATTTTTATAGTATTGACTTTGTGTTCTGTCAACTTGCTAAATTTACCTGTTCTAGTCATTTTGCACATTCTTGGAATTTTCTATGTAAACAATCATCTCATCTGTGAATCCAGATAGTTAGTTGTACCTCTTCCTTTCTAATTTTTGTGCGTTTTATTTTGTTTCCTTGCCTTATTGAAGGGATAGATCCTGGCAGAGTCCAGTGCAATGTTGAACAGAGCTGGTGAAAGCAGACATCCTTCCCTTGTTCACACTTTTAGGGAAAAAATGTTTAATATTCCATCACTTAAAGTTAGCCTTTCATAAATGCCTTTTATCAGATTAAAGAAACTTCTTTTCATTTCCATCTAAATTTTGTCAAGTGCTTTTTCACCATCTATTGAGATGACCATATGGTATTTCTCCCTTATTCTGTTAATGTAATGAATTACACTGATTGATTTTTTTGAATGTCAAATTACCCTTACATTCTTGGGATAATTCCACCATGTGCTATTGTTGCCATTTATCTTACACTTGTGTAAATGATCAGCCTTACAATACAATGTCAAAATTTTTGTCTAATAGATGTTTTTTTGAGCTAAAACGAGTAAAAAAAAAGTCATATTAATACACACATTTACCATTTCCAGAGCTGTTTGTTTTCTCATGTTTCCTCATGTCGATCTGAATTTCCATCTGTGTCATTTTTCTTCAGTGTAAAAAACTTCCTTAAGCATTTCTGAAAGCATTTCCTATAGTTCAGGTCTGACAGTGATAAACTCTGTTTTATTTTTTATAAGAAAATGTCTAAATACACATCTTTTTGGAAGGATATTTTCTCCATACTAAGACTTTTGGGTTGACAGTTATTTTTCCTTTTGACATTAAAAAGTTTTATTTTATTGTTGTTGATGAGAAGTCAGCCATCATTCTATTATTGCTTTCTTCTAGCTTCTTTTAAGATTTTCCCATATTTTTTATTTTCAGCAGGTGTATTATTGTGAGTTTAGGTGTGGTTTCTTTTTCTTTTTATCTTGCTTGGGGTTTGCTGAAATTTTTATATCTTTTGGGTGATGCTTTTCACCATATTCAGGATATTTGGGGCATTCTTTTTTTTCAAATATTTTCTGTTCCATTCCTTCTCCCTCTTTCTGGGACTTCAAGGACACATTTCAGACCATAAGTAATGGAGGGATAATTTTTTTTCAAATTTTTTTTTGTTCGGGACACCTGGGTGGCTTAGTGGTTGAGTGTCTGCCTTCAGCTCAGGGAGTGATCCCAGGATCTGGGCTCGAGTCCTGGATCAGGCTCCCTGCAAGGAGCCTACTTCTCCCTCTGCCGTGTCTCTCTGTGTGTCTCTCATGAATAAATAAATAAATCTTTAAACATTTTTTTTTGTTGTTCTTCACAATGGAAATTTCTATTTTTCTGTCTTCAAATTCACTGTCCTTTTTTCCCTCTAATCTGCCCATCCAGTAAAAACTTAATTTCAGATATCATACTGGTCGGTTTTAGAATTTCCACTTGGTTCTTGTGGTGGTTTTATACTGTATCAAGTTAACTAAGCTGGAACTACACTTCCAGACTCACTTCCCTGTGTGGTTCCAAGTTAGGGCTGGCCAAAGAGAAGTTTGCATGAGATTTGTAAGGCAGAAGTGAAGCAGCAGCCATTTTACATGCTAAAGGTAAATATAGCATATCAAGCACTGGCAGCTTGCTCTGATCTGTTGGCTTACCTTCCTGGCATGAGGCAGCAGCCAGAATCAAAAATTCTCCAGCTGCCATTGGATCTCCTCATTCAGTTTCCCTGAGATCTGAGCCTGGTGATTGTATAGCTCCACGTGAAGGGCACTAGCTCTTTCTTGCAGATCACCTATACCATTGTGATTAGAGGTAGTAAGAGAGATGTAGGTTTCAGTTGTTCTCATGGTTCTTATTTTTCCTCATGGGGTTCACTTTGTTCTTGTTTTCCCCTGCATTTCATTCAGCTTTCCTTTGAAACTGCTGGCCCTAATGACTTATGATGACTTCAAGCTCACCACTAGATGCAGAGACACCAGCCTTATAGACTTCTTTACCAGAAATTACAATCTCATAACATTTAACTCCTGGAACAAAACCCTGTACTCATATCACTTCTAGTGGACCTTCTTTTATGATCAAACCCCAACCATTTCTCTGCTGAGATTTTCCATCTAGTCACTCATTCTGACCATCTTTTTTTTAAAAATTTCTTGTGCATATTTATAATACCTGCTTTCAAGTCCTTCTAATTCCACCAGCTAGTCATCTCTGGCTTAATTCCTAAGACTTCTTTTTCTCTTAACTATGTGTCACATTTTCCAGTTCTTCATGTGTCTGATATTTTTTATTGTACACTGGCTATTGTAAAGAATAGGCTGTAGATACTTTGTAGATACTCTTCCTCTGAAGAGTGCTGACTTTTATTTTAATCAGCAGATAGATAATTGGCTGATCACCTTCAGCATGTGGAGGCTTGGATTTACATTTTTGTTAGGGTTGGTCTGTTTCAACTTTGTATTTAGGTCTAGAGTGAATCTCCTGAACTCAGGACATAGTCTTTACTCCTAAAGTACAGCTCTTCTGTGCTTTCAAAGACAATCCTGAGGGATCCCTGGGTGGCGCAGCGATTTAGCGCCTGCCTTTGGCCCAGGGCGCGATCCTGGAGACCCGGGATCGAATCCCACATCGGGCTCCTGGTGCATGGAGCCTGCTTCTCCCTCTGCCTATGTCTCTGCCTCTCTCTCTCTCTCTCTCTGTGTGTGACTATCATAAATAAATAAAAATTAAAAAAAAAAGACAATCCTGAGGTGTTTACCAAGCCTCTTCACCTGGGTGTGACTGATACTCCAAACTACCCTCACTACCATAGGAACAGTTGAAATCTTGTTCTGATTTTCAGCTCTTCCACTGTTGCTTTCCACTGGGTACTTAGACTCTCCCCTTGAAACTATACGTAGTTTAAGGTCAGTCAAGAATGTGAGAGGAGTTTGTATATATATATGTTAGAGCCAGCCCGCCTATGGACCTCATATCTAGGATATCTTTCTTCACATTCAGACACTCTGAAAGCCCAAATTCTGTTCTCTGATACTTCAAGATGGTAACTATAGCTGAAAGCTGTTTAAATTATAGCTGTTTCATTTAAACAGACTAGGGTATGACCTTCAGGAAAAAAAACAAAAAACAAAAAACAAAACATGACATAATGTGTATTTCACCTAGCATAGTTCTCTTGATTCAAGGGTTGAAGCCCTTGTTTCTGCCTGCTTTTGGTCACTTTCCCATGCTCTTAAATGTTTGTTTTTTATATTTTGTCCAAATTTATAATTGTTATGTGCTGGAGGATTAGTCTATTGCAAGCCACTTTCTCATAACTGGAATCAAAACTCTGAGAAAAACTGTTAAGGGTGAGGCAAAAGGAAGAGAGAAGGAGTGGGGGTTTTCCTGAAAGAGGAATGGAGAGATTTGGAAGATTAAAGAGGTGTCAGAACAGTCTCTTCCTTTAATAAATTGCCTCCTTTTGCTGAAAAAAAGTGTGTGAGTGAGTGAAAGTGTGATAGAGAGAGAATGAGCAAGTGCCACAGGGTATTGTAATCCTGCCCCCCTGAATCCTGTGCATAGGGATTAGAAGGAACTGGGGAACATGGGGCAAAGCTGCCCTAATTGCCTATGCCAGTTGCTGGTGTGTGTGTGTGTGTGTGTGTGTGTGTATGTGTGTGTACACACCATATGCCCAACAGCAGGGCTAACTTGGAAGAACCTGAAGGCTAGTAAAGAACACTGTCTGTCTCTCTCCCTCCCTCTGACTGCTAATTATTTGTCCTAAATTATCAAACAACATGAAAATGATAAAAAGAGCCCTGGTTAAGATACTCTCGGATGCTTCGATTGTTTTTTCTTTTAAGCGCTTCCCAGGACATCTGACCAGGATGCCACTGATGGGTTAGAAATTATGACACTTGTCACTGGTCCACATATTGGGAAAACTGCCTGCTATCAAAATGGTAAATAGGAGGCCTGCTGGAGAAAGCTGGATTCCTTACAAGTCTGAGATCCTGGATATTGGCCCAGATTGTGTTTTTAATATTTTTGGAATTAAATGCATAACATTAAAAATATGGATTCTTAGCTGTCTCCTGTAGATGGTACATGTAACAGTTCAGTTCCCAGTACCCCCAATACCAAGGCTTGTCAGTTTCTCTTACTCACATTTCTGAACATGGCCTATCTGGCTTTGTGAGTCCTGCTCTAAATCTTGATGGGTTGTCACTACTGTCTGGAGAATGCCAACACAGTTGTCTGTCTGGTGTTTAGGGGAGATGGAAAAGGTCTGGATTGATCCATGAGAAGTAAGAATACATGTTAAATCTCCTAAGAAAACAAGTCACCATCTTCCAGAAGGACGGCTTGAACAATGACAGATATTCCCGCAATGCTTTAAGAAAGCTTCCCTTGGGGCACCCTGGGTGGCTCAGTGGTTGAGCATCTGCCTTTGGCTGGGGTAATGGTCCTGGGGTCCTGGGATCAGGTCCCGGATTGGGCTTTCCAACGGGAGCCTGCTTCTCCCTCTGCCTGTGTCTCTGCCTCTCTCTGTGTGTTTCTCATGAATAAATAATAAAATCTTAAAAAAAAAATAGAAAGCTTCCCTTGGCTTAGATCTGAAGAGTGTTTCTACTGAGGCACAAGCTTGTGAGGTGAGATATATCACTGAGCTGAGAGGGCTGGGATAGACTGGCAGGCAAGAAAACAACAGGACTGTGTGCAACTCTTAAAAAGAGAAGACGTGTAGGGCAGACAGAGCAATTGGTAATGAAAAAAAATTTAGCAACCCCGAGGAAAGTGGCATCATAATAGATCAGAGCAATGAGAGGCTGGATACCACTGCAGTGGCCTTAGAGCACAATGTCCTACACACACAATGCAGGTGCAGCAGCTTCTGAGCACAGAAGTAAAGAGATGGAAGATTAGAGAGTTGAGTTATATAATGAAGTAGAGGGACAGGAGAAAACAATGAATTTTAAAGATGGAAACAGAATTTTAAATAGATCCTTGGGAAATCTTTAAGTTGGAGAGTGGAGAGTTCAGAGCCATTCCTACAAGAAAGCCTTGTACATTAGTAAGAGTATGTGGCTTAGAATCAGACACACGTGGGCTTTGCAATTAATCATCTAGGTGACTGTACAAGTCTTTAGCCTCTCTGAATTTCCTCATCTATAAAATGGGGATAGGATAGTACATACTTTATAGGGTTGTGAATGTTAAGTGAATACTTACAAGGCACTGAATCTAATTTCTAACAAATGTTAGCTACTATTAATAGTAGTAGTAGTTAGTAACAGTAGTAGTAGTACTGTGAACACCTGTGTGCTATGAACTGTACATTTCTGTCATGATCATGATCAGCATCACCCCAGTTCTTTATGTTTAAGAACATGCAGGAAGCTTTTGTTAATTTGCAGTTTAACCTGGGTGGTTTATTGGCAGCAATGACCACATTTCAAAGGAATGGGCAGAAATTTGAAGAGAAATTCAGACTACCTGAATCTCGTAAAGACTCTCCCTTGGTGGCTCTGAGAAGCATGAAGGCAGCATAAGAACACTGGGCAATGGAGGAAAGGATGGAAGACACGCTATACTTACTTCATAAGTTGGTCTCAATTAGATATAGTATAGCCATACTCTAATCTGTTTGAAAGTTGCTGTCTGCCATATGCATGCTAAAATTTTCATTATAGCTACCTTAAATGCTTTGCCAGGGCTGGGCTAGCAAAGAGCTCCCTTGTGTGTGTAAGCAGGAATCTGTTGGAAAAAAGTGGAAGTGCATGGAAGAAACCTCTACTTTTTTGGATCAAGAGAAGAAGCTGCTCTAACTGGTGGTTTGACATCAGATATTTCCCAATCTGCCTAAAGGAGGCCCTTGTCAGCCTGGAGCTTCTAAAAAGCAGGCAGATGTCACACAAATCAGATATTGGTCCCAGTGAAATACAGCCCATGTATCCAACAGGAATGCAACAAATTGCTTTTCCTCTCCAATGCTTTCTTGTTTGGCTTCCATGGAGGTTTGTGTTTGTGGAAGAACTTGGGTCTAATTGTTGCAGACAGATGCCTGTGTTCTTTTAGCTGAGGCAGATGGGCAACAAGAGGAGGAGGTGGAGGTGGTTGTGAGGGAGGAGGTGACATTTGTAAATATGTCAAGGGACAATGCAAATTCAGCACAAATGCAGTAGAATCTTTTAAATGAGAAGATGAAATGATCTTTTATAAATGATGCATGGCTCTGGGAAGACAGCAATTGTATCAGTGAGGGTATTGATTCTTGACCATTTGTACATACAGTGGATGAAAATCAGTTATATGGAGTAGCAATTATTTTTAACTTCTTCCTATATAATGATTAATGAGAGTTGCTAACAATTTGCAAAATTAGCTATCACTTTCCCTCTTTCCATTAGAAACAAAAAAAAGGGGGGGGGCAAATAGCAGGCAGCATTAGGAAGAAAGAAGAGTTGTAAGTGCCTTGAGTTAACCTACTGATTTGCTTGGGAGTCTCCAAAGAACTGATCATTTCTTGGCCAGATGTTTCTTTGGGTTGATGTACACTTTGATATACTCTCCACAACAAGTACTCAAGTCTTAAGCTCTAATTCAGCTAAGTCCAAGTCCCTTATCACCACCCCAAACCTCAATCAACTGGGATACTGCCTTCCTGGGACCAGACCCTCGTTCTTTCCTTTGAGTACCTTACCCCTTTGTCCAGTGGAACCTTCACATCCATAGAGAGAGAACCTGTTTCCCCATTGATCATGGCTGTTCTGAGCTTCAAGAGGAAAGATAATGGTATTAGTCCCCCGGCTTACACTGGAGGGTGGAAGGCAGTGGGCTTTACTGACCAGTCTGCAGGTGATCCCTAGGAATACTTTCAGCTCTTCCCTTTTTCCTTTAAGCAGAATATAAGGAGGGAATATAGATTTGATTTTAGGTTCCATTTAGTTTATAATTCTAGACCTTCACAAAAATAATTCTCCCAAGTACACTGATGTACTTGATCAAACATAGTTCTATATTACTGAGACAATTTCCTTTAGAATGAGCCACTAACCCCCAAATCAGACTGGAAATCAATCCCTGTAAATTATAGACATGGCTCATTCAGCCTCAATATTCCCTGAGATTCAAGAAGATACTATTATGTTGTTATAGTTGTTGGAAGCATTGCCCATTACAGAAATTGCTTCTGGTTTGGGCTTGGAGAGCTTCCATTGAGAGGAACAGAGTGGCCTCAGAGCTTACAACCCCACAGCTGGTCTGTGTGCTGGTTGTAGAGCTACACTAATTCCTCTTTCTCCTGATTTCCCTACTCACAGTTTCAGCTTGGTCTTCCCACTCCACTTCAGAGAGATCCACGCTGTTGTAGTTAGGTTTGGGTTTCAGTTTCTTCCCCTCTCTGTACTGGAGTGGGCAGGTCAGGAAGAAAGAAATTAGGTTAAACATGAGGCTTGCTCAAGTTTCATCTCTTTTTGGAAGCCTTAAAAAATAAAAAAACAATAAAATCAAAGAATCTCAATGATTCCTTAAGGGAATCAACTTTCCACCTGATGAACATTTCCCTTCCCAATATTCGTGACAGACACTCTTATGGCCTCTCAGTGAATATTTCCCATGATGAGGAGCTCCCTATTTCATGAGCAGCTTGTCATAGTTTGGACAGCTCTAATTGTTAGAAAGCTCTTCCTCATACAGAGCTGAAATCTGGCTCCCTGTTTCTTTCGCCCATTGGTCTTATTCTTTCCCTGGGGCTACACAGAATGTTTTCCACCTGACAACTCCTGAGATTTTCCAAGGTGCTTGTTACTTCTGATTACACCTCTCCAAGCTAAATGTTCCCAGATTGCAGATGCCTCAACTCCCTCTGAATATGCTCACTTCGTCAATGTCACTCTCAGAATGGAGTGCCCAGGACGAGTGTCCATATTTCAGATGGGATTCTGACCAGTGTGGTGTGTGTGTGTGTGACCCGTATGGACCAAAATATTATATGGTTTTGCCTGCTGCCTATTATTCTGCTGGATTTCCAGGGCAGCTACACTGCCCTAATAGCTTAAATCAAGTTTTCAGTCAGTTAAGTGCCTTTAGCCTTCCTCACGTGGCACGCTGTTAAATTACATGTTTCCAATATTATGCTTGAGCATTGAATATTTTGCAGAACTTTCCATGCACCCTAAATATTGATCTTGTTGGTTTCAGTTTGTTTAGAAGAATACTTCTTGAATATGAATTTTCTCCCTTAATATGTTACCCATACCTTCCAGACTTTGTGTCATCTGGTTTCTGTTTTCATCTCGCTGATAGAATTCTTGAATGGGACAAAGCCAAGGACAGACAGATTCTGCAGTGCCTAATAAAGACCTCCCTGCAGCTCGACATAGAGCCATTAATCAAGTCTTTGAATGTTATTATTTTCTGGCCCTGTCTTCTCTCCCTCCCTCTCTCTCTGATACAAAGACAGATTATTGTCAAGTTATCTGCTACTAGGTTGGCAGCGCTTCCCAGCTTTAGTTTAATAATAGATCAAAAAAGGAAAGGGATGGTTTATTATTGGAGTAAATTACAAATTAATCAGAGGGTCTACTTTTAGCAGAATGAGGCCCCTGAAGATGCTTGAAAGGTTGAAGTCCCCTATCACTGTCTATCGTGCTGCTGTCACTTTTTTATTTTTTCAAGAAATTGTCACCCTTATTTCTTGCCTATCTGGGAGGTCTGCACTATAACTGCCACAGCAGTATCTCCCTACATTCTTCTCTTTCTCCTCACCCATGCTTGGATGATGTTTTGATTCCTGGCCTTGCTGATGCCTGTGCTCATAACAGATAGCACTACTCTGCCATCTTTTACACTTAATCTTTTTCTTTTGAGTAAAGTACAATATTCCTCATCATTGCTATTGTCTAATTCCTGGTGATATCTGAAAGATCATCTTTAGCTCCTATTATTAAAACCATAATTCCACCTTTTATTTTTTAAAGATTTATTTATTTATTTATTTATTTATTTATTTATTTATTTATTTATGATAGACACAGAGAGAGAGACAGAGAGAGAGAGAGAGAGAGAGAGAGAGGCAGAGACACAGGCAGAGGGAGAAGCAGGCTCCATGCCGGAAGCCCGACGCGGGACTCGATCCCGGGACTCCAGGATCGCGGCCTGGGCCAAAGGCAGGCGCCAAACCACTGAACCACCCAGGGATCCCCCATAATTCCACTTTGTATAATTACTCATACTTTGAGCACTGACAGACAGATTTCAGGCCAACAGTATGGCTCCTGACCCTCTATCAGTTTGTTACTAGGCATACCCTCTATTACTTTTCTAAACTTCTCTATTGTTCTCCTTAGCCCTTATCACAAATTGATAGTGCTTTCTTTAGGAATCACATTATGTTGGCTTTACACAGTAATGTTTGTTATGTAATAATGATCTACATGGTATTTTTCTCTCATTGTTTCATTTGTATAAGTCTATTTGTGTATAATTCATTTTCTTATTTAGACTATAATCTTCTGTTTATAGCATTCTCAGAGTGTTATAAGGTCAGGCACCCAGCAGGTCCACATTATTAATTGATTGCTTGAAGTCTTATATTCATCTATCTAGATTATATAAATGGTGACAGATGAGTTTCTGATCAGTGTCCTTTAATTTTATAAGTCAGCTCCATGACTGACATATATTTTTTTCCTAGTGAGTCATTTTATTGCCACTAGGGCTGCCCCCCACAGAACTCACTGTTACAGGTCAGTGACCTATTATGGGTTCAGGTGCTTGCCCAGCAGAGTCTGAATTGGGAAGACAACATGGCTTCCAGTGTGCCCTCATGTCTGTATTATGAAGTTCTACAGTTTGCCTTAAATAGCTCAATCATTTGCTTTATGAATACTCAGGATCTGAACCAAACTGGAATAGAATGTGCCTTGGATCATTCCTTCAAATGGCACCTAGGGCAGATGAGCGTCTTGGTAAGTTCTCACAAAGGTGCTCTGCTAGTTATTGTCTTCTGCTACCATCTCAGTTCAGTATGAGACCAGAAGGAGAAAGCGCTAAGGTTCCTGTAGGACTTAGCAACACCCCCCCCCACCCCCGCTGGCCCTAACACTCACACTGAGAGGTGTGGCCATTGTTTTCATCAATAGTGGCCAGGTGCCACGACCAGAGGAAGCTGGGAGCCCCTAGCCCTGGAGGTAGAATTTTCAGATAAAATGATGCAACTTTCTCTCTTGGCTATTAGTTATTCAGTTGAATGCATGCAAAAGTGCCCCCAGCCCCTGTATCAGGATGGAGGGAGCTAGGAAGGAGGCAGGAACACTCAGGAACACATCACAAGACAAACTCAGGGGTGCCTCAGCTCTGCTCCCCCCACATCTCATGAGACTCTTTCCCTGCCATTTTTGTTGTTAACTCAGCGTTCACAACCCCTTGGGTGGGCCCTGGAAGTCTGATGACACCCCTATAGGCTCCAAGAGGAGTGTAGAGTGACTGAGGCAGTGACAGGAACCTTAATAAGTGGCTTGTCCTTCAGGAAAAACTACACATTTCATTACATGTTCTCTGGTCTATTCATCAATCAGTTCATGTATTTTTGCTTTGTCTTTCCTGCTAGATTACAAACAATTTGAAGACAGGGACCATGACTTACATTTTTTTTCTTATATTACCCATTGGGTTCTTAAATAGAGCCCAATGTGTTTTCATTGTTTTAACTGTTTCTGCGAACTATCTCCAAATCGCATACAGTTAAGATCCCAATGCAAATAACATCTGTACTTACCAGAGGTCGGAGGTCAGGATGTGAGAGAATGTAGCCATTGTTAGTGTTCAAGAAGGCATATCCGTGTACTCCTAGCTGCCAAAAACAGCAGGGATTGAGAGGCATCAGAGTTGTTCTTTGCGTTGGAAAATTGGAGCTAGAAAAGGGTTGGACTGCAAGATGGCAGCTGACAGCAGCAAGTTTTTCAAATAGGAATATTGCTGAGCCAGCGCCATGTTTCTAGCCATTAATTCTGAATTCCTTTCTAAATTTTATGGTTTATAGCAGCCACAATAATGCATATCATTATTTGGCCTCTTTCCTACCACATATTCTAGTTGCTTTGATGATGTACTCTCATTTGTTCCCCAAACAGGACTGCATGGCATGGAGGAGCAGATTGAAAAACTGAGGTGCTAGGAAAGAAAGAACTTGCTGAAGGCCACAGAACAAATGAGAACTAGTGGTGACAAATGGTCCCAAGAAGTCCAAACCATTGCTCCCATGCTCAGTGCCTGCACTTCCCTGGGGGTGGGATGGCAGGGCCCAATTCCAGCTCTGGGCTTGGTTGCACTGCCTGCAGGGAGGCTCCTGAGCCTGGTAGAGCAACTCCAGGGGAGCCTGTGATCTCCTCCAGAACGTGCTCCAGGCTCACCTTGTACCGGGGTGCCAGCTTCATCAGCTCTCTCAGGGCCACATCAGAGCCCACCACACCCAGAAGAATGCCATGGGAACGCTGGAAAGAGAAACACCAGGGTCAGCGGGGGTACCTACTTTCCCTGTGCACAGGGCCGACTGCACACTCCTCAGCAAGCCTCTTAGGCCTAATATGACCCTTCCTCTACAGTTGGATTTTAGGCTGAGCTCTTCGGAATAAAAATCTAAAACCTATCAGAAGAAACCCCGGGAGTAATCTCAGCTGCTGGAAAGATTAATTTCCAATATTAATATTTAAATTGTAATATTTAAAAGAAATACAAAGTTGAACGAAATATTAATTTTCATAGTAGAGGCTGAAGTATCAAAATCCAAGGGATAACCTATGGATGCTCTGAAACACACAAGGCCTATAAGGAGGAATTTATGACTGGATGGAGGATGGAAGGCTCTAGAAATTCCCTCACCAGAGGCCTTTACAAACAAATTTTAGAGGCTGCCCAAACTGGTAAGTGTCGTTTTGCTAGGGGACCTTTCTAGCCTTATATCCCCAGGACACTGGCCCCAAGTTCAGAGCACTAGGACAACCCCAAACTGGCTGAGGAGAATCACTGGGTGAGCTTTGGGAAGCATGGCCCTACCCCACCTCCCATCCTCACCCCTTCCCAACCAAGAGGTTCTGATATAGCTGGTTGGGTGTAGGGAAATTTGAATGAAATTTGAGTATAAAATCCTGCCAAGGTGGCTCTGATGCCCAGCCAAGTCAAGAACCATTAGTTTAAAGAGGTCAGCCTGTGGCCTCAAGTTCTAATCCCTGTTGCAGCTTCTCAGAGAGTGGTCACTCACTGTTTCATTCTTTTTGCTGAAGACCGGCATGGCCACGGTAGTGAGAAGCATCAAGTTCTGTGCCTGTGAAGTGAGCAGCTGTCAAGGAAGAAAGAGCAAAGGGCAGAGAGCTCAGAGTCTGTAGAGTGGGGGATCTACAGTCACTAATGTCACTACCACTGAAGTGTCACCTTCCAACAGGAGGAGTAAGCCACCCATGAGATTCCCCTTCTCTGCAAAAGGAGAGCTGGCAGAAATGCTGGAGGACAGTGGTGGGCTGGAGAGGGGACTAAGAAATGTCACTTAGCGATGACATTCCTAAGCCAGGGCAAGTGTCAGAACCCCAGAGCCCACAACCCAGTTCCCAAACATGCTCACGAAGTCCTCTGTCTTTCCCATGTCACGGATGAGCATGAGCCCATGGAACAGGCCCATCCTGCACACACCCAGAAATCTCTGCCACGGGCCGAAGGTTGGCATAGGCAACAGCCCAGGACATTTAAGGAGAAGGACACTGACACTGAGCCACCCTTAAACACAAGTGCATGCACGAGGAAGCACAGTTTAAGGGCAGGCCATGGTGTAGTTGTAGCTGAACTTGGGGTCACTCCTAACACACATGGGACAGACCCACAACCTCTTCCTCACTGAGAATGCCAGGGCCGTTTCATCCCCTACCTCCAAGACAGCCCTCCTCCCCAGCTGTCTCATCTCGCAGTGTGGACTCCTTCAGCTTCCTTGGAAGGGACTCCACAGAGCAACCCCACTTTATCATGAAGACAGGCCTTTACAGGTGGTGTGCATATTTATGTTTGATATGTTTGATCTTCATCAGGATCAGCCAAAGGAGGCGGCTGAGCCCATGGAGGTGTACAATATTCTTTCTCGGAGAATGAAGAACTTTAAAAAAATTGAATATATTTGACGCATAACATTGTGTAAACTTGAAGTGCTACTTAAGTGTTCCTTTGATACATTTATGTATTGTCATATGATTGCCATTGTAGTGATGTCTTTTACATTACATAAGTCTTTATTCGTTATACTGTGTATAGATCACTAACCAGCAAGTCTCTTCTTCATCTGATTTTTCAATTCAGGGTTTTAGAAGTAAGGTTTTCAGAAAGTGAGTGGTTTCAGTAGACTAGTTTTACTAGCTACTGGATCCAGGAAGACCCCAGGGTTGGACAAGGGGACAGCAAGAAGCAGTCTGGGTCCCTGGTAACCAGGAAGCTCCTCACCAGCTCCAGGTTGGCCACCTCCAAAGTTCTCTTACATGAGGAAGAATTACACTTTTATCTAAGCCACTATGTTCAGGTTTCTCTTCATCCCAGTCCGATACATCATCACTGAAGCAGGTGGCTGCATATGGGATACAATTTGAGAAGTGCTAGGAAGGTCCCTTGTGCCCCCAAACATCTTATCTGACATTCTGTGTTGGGTATTTATTCCTTTGTATGAGTCACTGCAACCCGCAGACAGTCTCTGAAAGTACAGGGCCCAGGAAGGGGAGCACCTGATGAAGCCATAGTATCTTGAGTTACTGGCCAGACTCCTCTGAGGGAAGTGAGGACAATGGGAAGAAGGAAGGAACAAGCTTGGAGCAGAGGGGCTCTGTCCATGGAGGGCAGACTTGGACAGGTCTGCTCACCAGGATTCTAGGTTTCTGGGGACAGCATATAGGCAAGAGTCTTCCAGTGGACTTAGGGTGTTCACCGCTTCACACCTTCTCCTGAGGAGGTGTTCTGCTCACCTCTCTCCTGACCCACCCAGGAAGTTACCTCTTACTCCCTGGTGCTCCTAACTCTGGAGCAGGGTCAGGCCCCCACCTTGCTGTCCATGTAGGCTTCCGTCCAGGTGATGTCATGGTCATGGTTGATGACCATGGGGCGGCTGAGCACGTGCAGGTACTCCATTACATTCTCCTGCGCATCTGCCAGTGTGGAGATCTGCGTGTAGTAGCCTGGCAGAGGGAAGGTTGCGTGGTTGTGGAAAGCTGGGAGCTCTGCTTAGAATTGCTCTCCAGGACCTATACACTCTCCCCCAGTTGTTCTTGGCTTACAGTGGGCTCCTTACTGGGGGCTGTCCTAGGCCACAGGGAACCACTTCCCCCAAAGGTTATGCCCTTTCCTGTGGACAGCTGGAGGCCAGTGGTGTGCTGCCTGAACCTGAGAACTCTGGGGGACCCTCCCAGTCCAGAGATGCCATGGGAGCAGCAGGGCCTCAGCAGCGAGGGCCATGGGGGTTGGCTTCTCTCTCATCATGATGCCCTCCTTACTTCCTTATGGGGTTATCTTCTAGGAGCACCCTCTCCTACATGTGGCTCTTTCTTAGGGTCCATTTTCAGTACAGTCTAAGACAGAAGCTCAGTACCCCCTACCCTCCTTCTCTGACCACTATCCTTCCTCAGTTACAGGGAGGGGTGCTACAGCCTCTTCCCTGTCACCAAGGTGATATTTAAAAGAGCAAATGACTTACAAGGCTGTGAACGACTTAGTACATGTTTACCTCTCTGGCCTCATTGCTTACCACCTCCCACAAAACATTCATTACACCCTCCAGAAAGTGAAACTGCTTTTCATTCCCAGATGACTCTTGTCTCAGACCCTTTGAACATGTTGTTCCCTCTGTCTGGAACATCCTTCCATATTCTCTATGTCCAGCTGACTCCTACCATTTTTTTTTAAAGATTTTAGTTATTTATTCATGACAGACACACACACACACACACACACACAGAGACAGACAGAGAGAGAGAGAGAGAGAGAGAGAGAGAGATTGAGGGGCAGAGACACAGGCAGAAGGAGAAGCAGGCTCCATGCAGGGAGCCTGATGTGGGACTCGATCCCGGGTCTCCAGGATCACGCTCCAGGCTGAAGGCGGCACTAAACTGCTGGGCCACAGGGGCTGCCCACTCCTACCATTTTTTATGCCTTAACATAAGCACCTCTTCCTTTAAGAAGTCCTCTTTGCTCTCTCCAAATGGAGGAAGTGTCTGTCCCATCAGTCTCCCAGCCCCTGTATAGTCTGTGCCTCTCTGTCCTCACAGCACATTTCAGATTATATCACCACTGATGATTCTCTTATCTGTCTCTTCTGCTGAACAGGAGCAAGAACAAAACTAAGTCCATACTGACCGCAATTTGGAAGCTTTACCAGGTACCACAATACATGCTCCATAAAATTTGATTGAATCCAGAGCACCCACGTTGGCATCATGTAGCACAGGTGTTGGGTTCTGGCCAGAGACAAATGAGGACTGCACCCAAAACATTATTCTAAAGAAAATAACCCTCTACTTTTTGTCTGGAGGCAGAACCACAGCAAATGAGCTTAATTTGCAATGAGAGGAATGGAGGCTAGACATAAGAGAGAACTTATATTTAAACTGAGTCTCACTCCTGCCTCACCCTGTCTGTATTGTGGTTCATATAGGCTTTATTTGAAGAGAGAGTTTTCTCTTCTGCAAACACTGGATAGAAGACCTCCCAGTTTCATTTCAGGAAATGAAATGACCTAGAGTCCCTGCGGGGGTAATTATGCATTTCCTCAAGGTTTCATGGGGCACTCTACATTTTGTCTAGCTTTTTCCAAATAAGAAGGAGAGGCAGATACTGTCATCTTGACACAGCACCATTCCTCTGCAAAGGCCCCATGTAGGAACTATGGCTCAGCATCCCTGATGACTGGGTGCAGACTGCAAGGAGCTCAGCTCACACACTACCTACCTTTGTTGTTACATGCAATCCACTTCATGCGGTCAGCGAAAGTCACTTCTCTTCCGATAAGATAAGTGAAAACTCGAATCTAATCCACAAGACACAGATGTACTCAGCAGCCATAATTTCTGGCTATAAGTAGTGTTAATATTATTTATGTGAGTCTTAGATATCAGGTCAAACACTTTACTGACTTTGGATTCTCCACTCTCATCCTTTTGACTAGAAAGAACCCTGAGGCCCAGGTTGTGGTGGGACTTGCCAGGGTCATGGTGATGTGGGCCCAGTACAGGGGGGGAGGGCCACAGCCTGGCAGTCTTCCTCTCAACACCACATCTGATCTCTCACTCTGAATTTTTTCTCGCATGAGTTCTTTGTGCCTAGAGTCAACATAATTTTGGAACATCAACCTGGGACATACTATCTGAATATACTAACAAGTTTAATGGAGCAGAACATTTGAACTCAGGGCAGGCCCAGTTCTTCTGGGCAGCACTAGTTCTCCCATGTAGACAGTAGAATACTTCCCTTGGCCCCTTCTCCTGCCCCTAGTCCTCCACCAGAAGAGTAACCTTGCGATCAGGCCAGTTGTACTTCTCAAACACTGGCTTGTAGTCCTCCACAGCCCCATCAGTGATCAACATGATGGCCTGGTTGCAGAGGCTTCCTTGACGGGCCTCTTGGAACTGTGTGGGGAAAGAAAAGTCACTGTGACTATAGGCCATCAGCTGCCCTCCCCATATCTCTACCTTGTCTCCTAACCCTTCACTCTCCAGCTTCATCAGGTGTGGATACCTGCTTGAGGATCTGGAATGCTTCAGTCAATGCTGGGTTCACGATGCCCACACCCTTGACCATCAGCTCATCTACCAGCTGTTTGAAATGCTGTCATGGGTAAGAAATTAGAGAAGGGTCAGTGGATTGACTGCAAGAGAACCTTCATCTCTGGTGTTAATTTCAGAGGCTGTTTAGAGCTATTTTACCAGGACATGATTGTGGGATCACTCTTTTCATGATCCAGCTAATTTTATCATGGGCCTCTACAGTAGATGTTTCTCAGGTGTGCCCAAGATAAATTAAGACAGTGTAAGTGGAAAAAAAAAAAAAAAGACTGTATAAGTGGCTGGGTGCAAACATGTCCCCACTACTGGAATGCCAAGTGTGAGCCCATCCAGAGCAGGGAGACAGTCCAGGCAGGCCTTCAAAGAGTCACTGTCTAGGTTGCCAGGTTCCCAGCACCTTTAGCACCCAGCCCAATGTAACCAAACTGAACATTTCACAGGGGAAACTGTAGAGGCCATCAAGGGCTCCAGGATCCAATCTGAGGCCAGCATTCAAGAAGCAGCCAAACTCAAATTCCCCAGCCAAAGGAAGAAGTATCTATCACATGAAAACGTTTCCCTTAAAAAAAAATTGTCTCTCTTCCTTGGCCTTTGAGAAGGACTCAATCCAATGGGTCTGAACTTCTCTTCCTTTTGGGGGAAACTCCTTATGACTGATATAGTGGAAATGTTCACAGAAGAGGCAAAGAGGGAAAGAGAGTCTTGGATAATCTACAGAGTGAAAATGCAGTCTTGAATAAGGAAATTTCCCTTGGGTGCGAGGTCTCTCTTTGCTCACTATTTGCTTTGATAGGCAGGCAGCATATTTATGAAGCAAATTCTTGGATGTGTTTACATGGGTACCTGCTTTGCCCTTCTTCCAAATGCCATGGGCCATCAGGCAGTTTGAGTTGGTGACTGCCCACCATCCTAATCAGAACAGGGGCTTGTAAGCATCAGGCACTCACCAATTGATAGACACTCACCTCACGATTGTCTCGATCTGCCTGGACCAGGGTCCCTTTAAAACAAGGCTCTATGTAATGGATGTAGTCACTGTACTGCAGTTGCAGAGGGCAGAGGGGACAGGAGAACAGGTAGGGTCAGTTTGGAAGGTCAAAGCCCAGTGAAAAAGCTCAGGCAACTCACAGGTTACCTAGGCACCTATGTAATATTATCTTGGGGTACTCTATGCTTCTGGCAGTTTTTTTGAGTAATAAGAACAGTGGGGCTTTAACTCCAAAAATTCTCCCTCAAATCCTGGTCTTCAGCCGTTTTCTCAGGTGGCTGGCTGAGTGATGTCCATCTCCCAGAACACAAAGAGAACCTGAAGGTACTGAGAGAATCCCTTTGGTCTTCACCCCTAGGCCTAGACAACAAAGTGCCTTCCATGAGAATCCTAGAGCTTTCCAAGTGTAGACCCCTCCCCAGGGCCTGGGTTTGGGGATTAGGAATATGTTTTTCACCCTTTGCCTTGCACTTACTTTTTTTTTTTTAATAAAAATTTTATTTATTTATTCATGAGAGATACAGAAAGAAAGGCAGAGACACAGGTAGAGGGAGAAGCAGGCTCCATGCAAGGAGCCCGATGTGGGACTCGATCCCAGGAATCCGGGATCACATCCTGAACCAAAAGCAGATGCTCAACTGCTGAGCCACCCAGGCATCCCTGCCTTATACTTACAATGGAGATCTTCTAGCTATCCACAGGGATGGGAAAGGAAAAAGATGAATTATTATTGCCCTCTTTTTCTTAATCACTCCACTTCCTTACAATTAAAACTCAAATCTTCAAAATGTCTTTAATCTACTTCTGTTTAAATAAGAGAGGGAGGTGTGCCTGAGTGGTTCAGTCAGTTGAGCTCTTAATTTTGGCTCAGGTCATGGTCTCAGGGTCATGGTATCAAGCCCACATCAGGCTCTGCACTCAGCAGTGAGTCTGTTTGTCTCTCTCTCTCAAATAAATAAATAAAATCTTTAAAAAAAATAAGTAAGAGAGGGAGAGAAAGATAGGAGTGCATGCAGGTTCTAGGGCAAATGCTGGGGGGTCCTGGAGAAACATCAGGAGCAAATGCTTCCTCTACCTCTCCTCCCCAAACAGCAAGAGAAGGGTTGGGAGAGAAGCAGAACACACTCTGCAGAAGGAGTGAGAGCATACTCCCACTTTCCTGAAGGGGTCAGACCTGACCTTGTAGCTGTCCTGTCACTACTATAGGTCATGATCAGGGATGGAAAGGTGGTGAAGATGGGGAGGGTGGGATCCAGGAGTGGTGCAGGTGGGTAAATGATGCAGGCCTCAGGGAACAGTTCAGGGATGAGGAGGGCCCTTCTGACACCCTAGAATGAACATTTTGAAGTTAGATCATGTTGCCTTGATATTTCTATACTAGATATGTACATCCCACTGAGGACAAGCATTTTCAGCAATGTAACAAGCTGGTGGGACAAAGTTTTGGATCAGGTGACCTTCAAAATGATGCCCCCAAGGTGGCAATCAACTTTGCCTCCTTGGAGGGCTAAACTGGCCTGCTCTTTTGTTGCATTTCTGACTTATATCTTCCCATTTCTTTCTGCCTCTTCCCTCTCCTTCATTACTTTTCTATGGCAGGCAGAGCTACCTGCAGGAAGAGTCGCAGTAAAAGCAGCACCAGGGTTTGCTGGTTCCTTTCTAGGTCTTCACTACCTACATCTCCCTTCTCTTGACGTATTTGAATTTGGGTGGGATGCAAGAAGTAGGAGATCTGGGAATGCTGTAAAAAGCAAGAGCCAGGGCATAATGGAGAGGCTGTTCCAGCAATGGGTACCAGTCAAGAGCACATGGATGTGGGTAAGTCAGATATTTGCTCAGGGCCAGTGTCTTTTAATTTTTATTATCAGACTCATCTCAGAAATTGATGAAACCTATGGAATCAGAAAAAATGGATGCACACATTTAATGCATAATTTCAGAAACTCTGTGGAACTCTTGAAACCCATCCTTGGTCTGACCTTAGGTTAGAAGCCCGAGCTTCAGAGGAGAGAATCATTATGCAGTATGTACATCAAGTGATTCTAGTACAAGCAGAAAAAAGTTTTTTTTTTTTTCCTAGGGAGAGCTATTCTAGAACAGGAAGTCACATTTACCGCAATGATGTTAACAAAGTCATTCTCCCCCAGTGTGTCCAAGATGGTGGAGATGGTGTGCTTGGCAATAGTCATCCGCAGCCCCTTCATGCTGCCACTAGTATCTACCACAATCACTATGTCCTTGGGAGAAGTAGCAGCTTGTATGTACCTTTAGCAGAAAGAAAGCACAGGCCAACAATCGGAAAACTAAAGCCAGAACAGCCACCCAACTGAGTCTCTAGTTATTTCTATGCAGATTCTGGCTCAAGTGTACCCAAAGTTCAGGCCAATGGTTCATCAATGCCAGGTTTTATCATGTACCATATACACCCAAGCATAGTTCTAAAGCCATTTTGGGGTCAATAGCTCGAATGTGCACATCTAATGGGCCTGTCAAGTGGGAGAAAAGTCCTGGTGGTAACCCTCATCCTGTTTTAGACCGGCTGGTGTCCGAGAGGAGCAGGCAGCAGGAAAGGAGACACCTGGATTCCACCCTTGGATTCTGTTACAAATCTGCCAGAGGAGGGATGTGCTGGGAGAGGAGAGTCCGGAAAAGGGTTAGTTTAGAGACAATTCAATGTCCTGGAAGGAGGTTTGAGATGGGAAAGACACATGTGATGAGTCCTGGAGCAAGGGCAGCTGCAGAGACAGGGAGGAGTGCAGCCAGCAAGTCTCCTGCTCTTATGTTAGGTTAAGGTTCTACACACTTGAGGTCCTTGGTTGCTGGTGGGGGCAGGGCAGGGACCAGAGGAGTAAGCAGAACCCAGCAATTACAGGAGAGATGCCAACCCCAGAGACCTTTCCCCTGGAGTTCTTACCAGCCACGATTTCTGCAGTCGAAGGCAACGACTCCATTCTCATCAGGGGTCCATTTGATACCTAGGGGAATAAAGTCTGGTTCTTCCACCAGCCCAATAAAGGTGCTTCAGAGCACTGGTTTGGTGGTGAGGTCCAGTTTGGCCATTCCCAGGACAGGGTCAGTAGTGGACCTGGGCACGAGGGTGTGGGACCAATAGAACACACCCTGCAATTGAAGCAGTTGGCAAGGGGGAAGGCCAGCTTATGCAGGACACATACCACTCACATTGCCCAGACCAAGATTTGGGTTACTTTCACAAGTAGGACCCCCAAATATAATGCCTGAGACTCATTTGTAACTGAACTTCACATCAAGTTGTAGCAAGGGAAGCTTGAAGGAGGTGTGACTTTTAACATCCACTGCCATTAGCAAAGCATGGACAGAGTGGTAAACAGCCAGGTGTTCAGATCTCTAGACTACCTGCTTCTACCCAGCTTAATTAAGCATACTGGGAGAAGTGATTATAAGTGGTTATAAGATAGTAAGCTCCTTGAAGTCAGGGATTCCCAGTACCTAGCAGTATCTGACACAGCACCTAGCAGAGTTGATGCTCAATAAGTGTTTGTTACAAGAATGAAAAATGAATGAGTGAGTATGAAAGATCTTGCCTTGAGTACTAGCAAAGTGCTGGGGTAGATTTTGTCTTATTTATCTGATCAGAAACTTGGATAAACACATATAAACCACAGATAACACTGATATGATCCACAATAGGATCTCTGTTTGAAAGATTTTAATGATTGGAAATAGTGGGTTCAAAATAAAGGAATTAAAAATAACTGGTGAAATTGTAATGGGTTATGTTTGGGCTAGAAAAAAAAAATAGTGGCAGTATCATGCATGTCTAGGATTGTCCTGTTCCACAGCAGTTAAACTTCAGATGAGATGCACCCTTTGAGGCATTACTGGTCTCTCAAAGGTAGGTTTTTTCAGGGATCATATCCCCAAAACCAGACAAATGAAAGCAGAGTTCTAAGAGTGAGGGGCGGGGGCCAGGGCAGCCAGGGTCCCTGGAAGGAAGAAATGGGACCAGAGGGTAATGGGAGCTTGAGTAACTGGCTTCTGATGTAGACCTGAAAGCAGCTGTGAGAAGTAGGGTGTTCCAAAGGCCACATTCCTGTAATAGGATAATTGTGGGGAATCTGACCCTTAGAACAGTAATGAGGAGGGGGAATTGAGTCTGAGCTTCTTGACTCTGAACCAAAACCTTAGAATAGGGTTTTAGTGGGCCTGGTAAGGGTACCTTCAACTCCAGGAAGGACAGAAGCGGTCCTCTTGAGGGGAAGCTTGCCTCTTGAAGCGGCATAGCCTCCCAGGCAAAGATTACCAAGTACAGGAGAAACAGGCAGTGTGAGTAAGAGGCAATAGAGGCAAGAACCACCAGATGTAGCCTCCCAAGGACCACAGGTGTTGGAATCACTAAACACAAGGTATAAGATAGCTATGCTGGAGAAATGACTGGAAGGAATATATAACAAGAAGCCACTGGGAACAAAGAAACAGTCTTAAGAATGTGGAACCTTTAGAAATGGAAAAAATACTTAAGTTGAAAAAGCATGACAGATTATTCTCAGGTAAAGGGAAAATTCATGCATTTGAAGGATCCATCCAGAGGCTAGAGTGAGAAGGCCTAAGGTGTGTCTGGCAGGAGGTGTAGTAAGAGAAAAAGGAGAGCACAAGGATGAACAATGGTCCCAAGGCTGGTGTCCACATGCTCTAGGACTGAGGAACAGTCCAAGCAGGATAAATAAGATATCCACACGTGGACACACAGTAGTGAAACCACACAATTCCAAAGATAGATAGCTAGATAAATGAATACTTTGAAAACCGCCCTAAAAGCTAGAATACTTACAAAGGAGCAGCAGTTAAACTGATAGCAGATCTTCCCAACATCAGAGGAAGCCGGAAGACAGGGGAAACACAGTTTTAAGGTAACGAGAAAATAACCGGTAATTTAGAAATGCATTCCCAGCAGAAACAATCATTAAAGAATACAACAGTATTGATAAAGAACAACAGTGTTGTTTTCTGAAATCTGTTTGGTGGGGGTGGGTGGGTTCTAATTCCTCTGTGCCTCTATTTATTCAAACCATTTCTCAGGGGTATGTCATTAAATGCAGGCTTAGTCACTCATCTCCAAAACAAAAGGCTTCTCCTTTCTGTTCTGACAAGAGGAAATGATTTGTGTAACTTGTAAAAATAAAAAAGGAGGGATTTAAAAACAAAACAAAACAAAAAATGAGGATAAAATAAAACTTTTGTAGATAAAAAAGCTGGAGCAGTTTACCACCCAAAGACCTACTGGAAAGGAACTTTTGGAGGATTTTTTTCAAGAAAGAAAAGGATTTTGGAAAGACAGCTTGAGATGCATGAAGGAATGGTGGGCAAATAAAATAGTAAACAAAGAGTTAATTCCAAATAGGCAATGTTTGTCTCAAGTAACAGTAATAGTATCTAACTTGGAATAAAAAAAGGGAATTATTAGATAACAGTGGAATGGAAGTCAAGGTAGGAGAAACGCAAGAGTCCTAAAGCCCTTTGTGACTGGACAGAGAATAAAGATAATATTTATTTTTAACATCTTGAGTTAGTATGCCTGATAAAGTTTCAGGAATAATTGCTAAAAAGACCCTAGAAGGATAAATTCCAAATTGACAGAAAAATAGATAAGTAATGAAGGGGGCATTTATCAAAAATGTTAATCACTGAAAAAGACAAGGAGAAAAAGGAAACATGAAAATAGAGGAACAAGTAAAATTTTAAAAATCATATAACAGCATGTTCAAATCTATCAATACAATAAATATAAATGTATTTAATTTGCCAACTAGTAAAAGAGATGGTCAGTTTGGATAAAAATTGAAAGGATGGGTTGCCTGGGTGGCTCAGCGGTTGAGCATCTGCCTCCGGGCTCAGGGCGTGGTCCTGGAGACCTAGGATCGAGTCCCACATCCGGCTCCCTGCATGGAGCCTGCTTCTTCCTCTGCCTGTGTCTCTCTGCCTCTTTCTGTGTCTCTCATGAATATATAAATAAAATCTTTTTTTTAATAATTGAAAAGCTATGAGCTATCTTCAAGAGATATGACTAAAACAAAATGCCATAGAATGTTGGAAGTAAAAGGAGGCAAAAAATATATTATTACTCAAATACTAACCAAGAGCAAACTTGTATTGCCCTATGGATATCAGACTTAAAATAAAAGGTGTCATAGGGCCTAAGATGGTCAGGCAGCAAAGATATAGGAATCAGCAAAAATATAGAAAATCTAAACAATATAATTAAAGCTTGATCTCACAACATATGCAGAAGCTTTTATCCAAAAATTAGGGCACACATATCCTTCGCAAGCACACATGGAATACTTCTAAAACTTGATGACATACTTGATGACATCTCAACTAATTTCACATAATCAGTACCACACCTGTCAGGTTCTCTGACTGTAAATAAACTGAATTAGAAATTTATAATAGGGATCCCTGGGTGGCGCAGCGGTTTGGCGCCTGCCTTTGGCCCAGGGCGCGATCCTGGAGACCCGGGATCGAATCCCACGTCGGGCTCCTGGTGCATGGAGCCTGCTTCTCCCTCTGCCTGTGTCTCTGCCTCTCTCTCTCTCTCTATCATAAATAAATAAATTTAAAAAAAAAAAAAAAGAAATTTATAATAAAAAGATAAATATAATTGTATATATTTGGATATTTTTGTTGGGCTGGCGAGACTGGGGACCTCAAAACGGTCGACCCCAGGCCAGCAACCTCCCAATAAGGCCGCCTTGCCGCCCTACCCTAATTAAGCGCACAAAGACCCGTAACCCTTGCCCTAATCGGAATGCCACCCTGACCCATCTTTCTGCCAAAAACTCTTCATAGACCCCCCTGCGGTTTGCCTGGGCGCGACTTCCTTGCTCTGTCCCTCCTCTGCGGCCGTGGAACCTCGCCCGAGAGCGTGTCCCAATAAAAGCCTGTTTCGACCAACTTTTGCCTGGCCTTCACTACTGATTGGATTAAACCTGACAATTTTATTTTATTTTAATTTATTTATGATAGTCACAGAGAGAGAGAGAGAGAGAGAGAGAGGCAGAGACACAGGCAGAGGGAGAAGCAGGCTCCACACACCGGGAGCCCGATATGGGATTCGACCCCGGGTCTCCAGGATCGCGCCCTGAGCCAAAGGCAGGCGCCAAACCGCTGCGCCACCCAGGGATCCCAACCTGACAATTTGAAAACACACTTTTGAATAACTAAAAGATCAAAGAAGAAATCACAGGGAAATTTAAACATATTTAGAGGCAAATGATAATTTATATATCACTAACCACTGATGAAATTTTGGAATATAGGTGAGGTCTGGAGCCAACAACCAAGAATTCTTGAGACATCTTTGGTGCAAAATGTTGGTTTTATTAAGGTAGAGGGGACTGGACCCCTGGGCGGGAAGAGTTGCCTGGGCCTGTGAGGTGGGGCTGATTATATACCTGCAGAGTTGGGGAAGTAAGGGAAAGGGAGGTTTCAAAAGGATTTTCATATGCTAAGGAGGACTTACAAGATACTGGAGGCCTTGCCATTGTCAAGTTAAAGGTTGCTTTTCTCTCTAGCAAGGCATTAACATTAAGACAATTGGAAGCTTCCTGAGGAATGTCACACGTACCTGGGGTGGGGTTGGGGTCATTTGTGGGATCTCAGCTGTGCTTTGTCCTCAGCTAGCCCTGTTCCCTTATCACCATGATACCAAAACACAGGCAATAACTTCTGTGTATCAAAGGATACAATCAATAGAGGGTAAAGAGAACCATAGAATGGGAGAAAACATTTGCAAATTATTTATCTGATAAGAGGTTAATATCCACCAAATATAAAGAACCACAACTCAAAAAGAGCAAAAGCAAACAATCCAATTCGAAAATAGGCAAAGGACTTGAATAGACATTTCTCCAAAGAAGATATATAAATGGCCAATAAACACAAGAGAAGATGCTCAGCCTCTCTAATCATTAGGAAAATGCAAATCATAACCATG